TATAAAACCCGTCGTAACGTGCCCGTGATCTGCTATCACTGTTCACATGGACTTGCCGAGTAGCTTCTTAAGTGGCACCTTGAAAACGTCATTCTTGGCATTTTCGTGCACTGTCTGATGATTTTTATCTACTGGCAATGACGAGGCAAGTGACGAAGTTTTAAAACGATTAGTTCAAAAAGGCCAAACTTCAACCAGCAAGCCCTGCATGATGTGCCTGACTCTACAGGTATAATTATATGTCAGGGTATTGAGCATTAGTTTGCAGCCAGGACCTCAGACACTTTGTGTAACTATGCGGGAAATATGAACCTGTATACAAGCCGAAGCGAAGCATAGTAGCTCAGATGCCTTGGTCACCTGTCAGACACCCCCCCCCCCCCACCCAAACGTTCAGTGCTGGAGCAGGGTGTACCGCGGAGATGATGACCATGGAGAGGACGCTACATCGGAAGTAACCGCTGCGCGCCAAGTTTGAACGCAAAGAGACTGTTACCACGCGAAGATCTCACCTCTGGCGTTGTAAAAGAACTAAGGACTGCTATTGTTTGCTCATTAGAGTTCGTCTCCTTCCAAAGTAAGATCAAAACGAGTCAGCCTGAGCCTGTTCGATCTCAATCCCTAATGAGTCGGCCCGAGACGGTTGAATTCCAAACGTCGCTTTGGTTTTTCCACTGAGGCCGACCACAATGCCATTATTCAAGCAGCAATTTCCTAGAACACTCACAGTGCCACCAATTATTGGCTGCGCATGTTCTGTCAGTTCTGCGAGGGACGCGGAAAGGATAACATCGATTGGAAAACCGTCAGTGGTGAAGCTCTGTCGTGCCTGCTAGCTGCATTCTATGTCGACGCAAAAACGCAGGACGGCTCACCCTTCTCCAAGAATAGTCTCAAAGCGGCATGCGGGGCTCTTCAGCAGCACCTGTCGAGTGCTGGGCAGACTATCAACATCTTTAACGACCAGACCTTCACACGGACCAACAAAGTTCTTGACGGAGTGCTGAAACAGTGAAAGAAGGACGGCTTCGAACGTCAGGTGCAGCACAAGGCACCAATATCTGAGTCGGAGTCGCTGCACGGTTATTTCAACGACATCATCGATGACGTCAACCACACAGTGAACCTTACTTATTGTGTACGGTTCAATCTGACGTTGCACTTTCGCCTTCGTGGAAATGAAATGCAAGCAGCCATCAAAGAGGACCACCTTGTGTTCTTTATCGTTGATGGGAAAGATCCTGAAGTTGGAACCGTCGTACATGGCGCAAACCATCAAGGCGGACTGCGGGGCACGGACTGGTCATCTGCCGGAGTTATTGAAGGCCCGCAGCAGATAGCAGCTATAAAACAGTACCTCTCCAAACTGCACCTGGATGTTGATCGAATATTCTAGTGTGCCATGTGTAAAAGTGAGCTTTCAAACCAAACCCCTGTTGGTTTGCGAAATCTGCGCTATCACATAATTTTCCATCCACGATGATGAAGCGTTTGTCATCCTCAGCTGGTTTGTCCCAGCCTTACACTAACCAATACGTAAGGGGGGGGGGGGGGGGTCTACTTCGGTCATGCACCTGAAGCAAGCCGGCATACAAGATCGCCAAATCTGCAGCCACGGGTCTGGTCACCAGAATGTGCAGTTGTTAGAAGCCTACGATCCCCGATCCGCAAGGGATTCTGTTTCTATGGCTGCTGCAATTTCTCGTAAGCAAGCTTCTGCTACATGTAGCACTGCTTCCATTGATTCTGCTGCTGCTGTTGCTGCTGGTACTTGTATGCATGACCAGTCAACGACTGTGTCGTCTACTGCCATTTAACCCTACCCCAATGCAACTGGTTCATCAGTATTTCTTAAATCTGTCCAATTACGTTTAATATACATGCTGAGTCTGCCTCCAAAGCTGAGCTATGCTGAAGCACTGGCATTCTTAACCATTTCGCTGGCCCTGACACGAGGTTTTTGAGGACTAATCAGCAAAATCTGCTCGTGCACAGCTTTGTACTATGTCTGAATTGGGCTTCAGCACACATAACTACCATCTTTCAACATCTCAGCATACAATCTTCACCCTTTGTTTTTCAGTGCTTTCAACGTGCAAGTATCGTGTTCTATGTTCAAAGCTGTAACTCACCTGTCTCTGACTCTGTTAGGAAAACGGGATCGACCTTGGGCACAACACTGGGCCGGCTCTTTGCATTCTTTCCCTTCGTCTCAAAGACAGTTACTTCGCCATCAGAGCAGGGAACGATGATTGCATTTGCCTGCTTCTGTTGCGACTTGGATACAACGTCCTGCAGCAAGTTGAGCGGAGCCATTCCAACAAAATCCACGTGCAATTTAAGGAATACTCACACATTGCCTACATTGCATGGCTTACGCATAGCAGCTAATGCCAGAAGCATGCAAGGTGGTAGTGCATGCAGTGTCTCAGTAGTAGGATAGTCCTAGCTTCCCACAACCCTTGTACCTTATTGTCCAACTGAGAATATTCCCTGTACCCACAATGATAGGAGTCAGGTCATGATGAGATGAAAATGGATGCATGTGTGATTGAAACCATAGGCAGACAACTTCAGGCACAAGTCAAGAAGATCGGACAGCACGTGCGTACGGTTATAAATTGAATCACGTTGCCAAGTATAACTACAGAATGATGCAAAGCTGCCCCACTTTATTGTTCACAATTCACCAAATTTCAATGCTAATGAATGCACTGTAAGACAGAGTGTGAGTACATGTTGCATTATTAGCTATGAAGTATTCTGTCAATAAGGGACTCAAGAACAAGCCATGTCAATGGACCCCTTTTCACACACGTGCTTTTATTTTGATTTCAAAATCTAGTCGATCCTCTATTCGGTACCTATTGGAACTGGCCACTCAGCTCTTTAGGGATCAAACTGCACTGCAAGCTAAAACATAGGAATAATAAAGTTTGCATTGAATACGACGTTCTCCCACTGCTGTTCAATATTAACCGGCATCGTTGTTTAGAGATGCCAGGATAGTGATGGATCTTGCAGAGGATGCTCAATACCTTTTGGAGTTTGCTGGCTGTTCCTGCCGTTCTCCGGGTCTTAGAACTAGCTTGACCTGCAAAGCAACAACAGCATAAACCACCAAAGAACAATATGAGTTGTCAGATGACAGAACCCAGCTTATCCAGTACACAGTGGCAGTGTCTGCTCCAGCGCCGGGTGAGCCGGGTAATCCACCCGGTTGGGCGGCGCTTGGACCCGGTTGAAAATATAGTACCGGGTCACCTGTGACCCGGTTGCTACTTTACACTTTCGAACTTTGAAAGGCCATACATGGCTTGTATGTGTCAGATACTTCTTCTTCTTTCGTAATTTTCTAATTCCTGTCCTCTCTTTTCTAAATGCGGCTTATCCATTCGCCTTTATATCATTGGGCATAGTTTCCGTACATTGTCCGAATTAAAATAAACCAATCAACCAGTTAAAGCATGTGACTCGGCTGGTGAGACAGCGCCAGGTACATGTGTACCCGGCTCCGACCCGGTTGAAATGGTTGCGCCAGGTACACGTGTACCCGGCTGTCCTACAATCCTAGAGCAGACACTGAGTGGAACGGAGTGCAATACCCTCAAAGGCAGCTGACCAAACACAGGCAGATAATGCATGTGAAGCAACGTGGAATGCCACGTATTTTCCGCTTCCATGGCGACCGTGGTCGATCCAGTACTTCATACACGTGATAGTGTGTAAGCCGGGTTTTAGAGCTTGAACTCAGTCTTTATTTGTGCAAAATCAGCCAAGTACCCGCTGAGTTATCAAAGTTTGAGGAAGGCACATTGATGATGTGTTTGCATCTCTTCTTGTGCATCCACTGTTATAGGCATGACAGTTTTCTCTGTTGTTGTGATCGCGATATTCTGGTGATATAATAGTCCCAGGGAGAGCTGGATCAAAGGCTCTTACTTTGATGACATTCGGTACAAGCACATTTGTCTCACCAGCATCTATCTTATAGTTAGTACTTACAAAGAACGTTGCCAGCTTCTCATGTACCCCCACCCCACCCCACATTGACCGTCCCCCATCTCACCTCACAGCGACAATCCTCACCCACCCCATTCCACCCCACATCATACCAAATACACTCTCCCTCTCCCCTCCCGCACCCCATCTCCATTCACTGCCAATAACACCACTGCAAATTTCAGAGTTGCAAATTGACAGACACCAGCCATCGGACAATACACCATAGCAACATGCAGGACTGCAGAAATGTTTGCTTAAAAAACAAGATTCTCTCTTACTCTGTGTACTACGCTTCGTTCCAGAATCAGGAGTACTTGTCAAACTTGGTGGCTCTTCACCAAAATAGACTTTATTTCCTTTCCGAAGTCCAAAAAATGCTAACAGTGCCTTCCCCAACGCAGTCACCACGTCCATACAGCGATTGGGGTACAAGCTCAGAATCTTCTCCACCCTGGCATCGTAACTGTTTTGGCTGTACACAAACAAGGAGGAAGAGAAGCAGCAAGTCAGGGATTGATTTTGCTTGGGAGAGCTACGGAACCATTTGCCTAGAGCAGCCCATCCAAAATCTCGACCGGCCCCACCTCTTCCTGACCAGCTGCTTTACTAGCCTACCCGAGCCCTGGACTGCACGTCTGCATAGTGACTGGTCAAACTTCGAAAAGTAGTGCAATGTATCAAACTGTTTTGAAGTTTGCCACCTCTGACCCCGCACAATCCGTATGCAATCCTATCAATCGGGAACGTTTCCGCAGCATCAAGAGCGTCTGAGCGTCTGGTAATCACAGGTTTCACTCTATTTAAATACTTTCGATTCTTGTACTGTCCAAAGTTGTGGAAGTGTTCCCACTTCGCAGGCACACCATTCAACGACCCTGCCATCACACACCCGTCTTCTGTTCCTCTAGTACAGAAGAGAGAAGGAAGAGCACACTACAAGTAACGTTTCTTGAGTTGACGATGGACTTTTTCTCATTAAAAAGCTAACTTTGTGCTCCGTTAGAAATTCAATTCTTACAGTAACTGAGTCTGCTATTTTCTCCACCTTTCCAAAAATATATGGGGTTGTGCATACCGAAAATGGATGCAATGCGACTTACAAAAGTGACCTACGGATAGGTTAAGTATTTCGTATACATTTCTAGCGGATGATGGGAGGTTAACATGGGCAAGTCTCGTGAATGCCCCCACCCAGGTTTGGACACCAGATGTGATCTTACCAGGTGTCAAATTTCTTGAATATCTCCTTAACCCTCTGAAATTCTTCTCGGACGTTCTGCATGGACACACACACACAGATGGACACACGCACACACACACACACACACACACACACACACACACACACACACACACACACACACACACACCCACGCGCGCACGCACACACACACACACACACACACACACACACACACATACGCGCGCGCACACACACACACACACACACACACACACACACACACACACACACATACCATAAGTACTACCGTATTTCCGCAAATAAAAGGCCGTCCTCGTATACAACGCCTTCCTCGTATACAAGGCCGGGGCAGGGGGCGATTGAAAAAATAAAAGACCGTCTCCGATTAAAAGACCGGGCCTACTAAATGAGTCTTTGTTCTTGTGTTAAAAATAGAAGACCGTGCTCAAACTGTGGGAAAAAATAGAAGACCGTGCTCAAACTGTGTAGAAGAAAATGGAAGAACGGGGGTAAAACTGTGTGGCGAGAAATAGAAGACCGGGGGGTCAAACTGGGTTGAAAGAATAAAAGACTGTCCTCGAAAACAAGGCCGTCCTCGATTATAAGGCCGGGTTAGGACGAGGTTGAAAAAATTGTAGACCGGCCTACTATTTGTGGAAATACGGTAAGTACTAAGCATCACGGGGGAAGCATGCAAATCAGCAAAAAATAATAAAATTAAAATAAATTTCACGGTTCGCATGAGACTTGGCTGGAAGCCCAGTTTTCCGCGTCCGTCGTGGGAACGCCACCACCCTCTAGGATCAAAGGCGCAGATGCAACCCCTAAACGGTGGGAGGTGAGTAGATCAGACCCACCACCAAGTGGTCAAAGACCGAAATCCCATTAGCTGCATCCATGGATGCAAATTAGCAAGTGCACAGTCTAAAACACACCGACTGGTTTCTCTTATAGTGGACAAACTCCAAGCGAATTTGATCAGGACGTTCGCCAGCTAGCTGCAATCTACTTATCTACGGAGCTATGTAACCTTACGTGTGTGTGTACAGATTGCCCACAGCACATGGAGCACATTGTGATGCAATACTCAACACACCATACACCCTGCACATGCACGCATCCCTGGCCTTAACTACACAGATTATGTACTACTGAAAATGCACGACGGCATTGAACATGCACTTACCTCCATTGTCTCAGCTTCCCTGATGGCCTTCACGCCGTCAGCAACCTCGTCTTCCACTTTCTATACGCACACAAACACAGGATCATAGACTCAAGGACAGGCAATGTGTAGGAGCACAAGGCAAACTCTTTAAAATACGTTCACCCCGAGCACCAGTACATACAGACATACATTCGCCGTCCCGTTATAACTCCTTCAAAACCAAAATCCAGATACATTGGTGCGTATTTCAAAACTCGCAAGTGAAGCCAAGTGTTCAGCCGGCAGGGTCATAAAATGATTGCACTAACAAAATTGCGCTAAGCATGAATGCACACACAGAAACCATTTATGTGGTGACATTGCACTTCTTTGACCTAGCTGTAAAAGAGTTTCTCCAAAACAACATAGTGAGACACTTGTGTACTAGTCTTGGTCTAGGACGTACAACAGAGGTGCAGTGGAGCCCGCTTAGGGCGAATGTTTGGGACCAGGGAAGGCTATCCTTGCGATCAGAATTTCATCTTATGCATGTTCATGTCGAGAGGGTTCCATTGCATAGCATAATGTAGTACTTCCTTTGCGGTGGGCATAACATACCTGCTGCTTCTTTCCTAAGTCGTCCTTTGCATCTTGGAGAACCATCTAAACAAGCAAGATCAGTGTAACAACCATAGCACCATTTTACATCAACTGCTCCATGGAAGTCGGTCCAGTAGCTGCCTATAACGTACAACATTCAACTTTCCAATGTAAACTGTCAGGGACATGAAGTGAACTGGCAGAAGATTGAAAACAAAGCCAACCCCACCAGGACTTGAACCTGGGACCTTGCATGTCTCGCTTCTACTTACCATCACAATTATCAGCCATTATCTCCGCTGCCCCCCTTCCCGAAAACAATGAAAACAGAGAATCACGGCAAGGATACGCATTTATTTGGCATAGTTATGGCTCTGAAGCCGAATACACTGTGTTGTCTTACTCCTATACGTGCTCCACGGTCTTTGGTAGAGCTCGCCAGCTGTGGCCCCATTGAGATGTTTGCCTGTATGTCCATAGAGGATCCCGATCTACATTATAAGTATTGTACACGGAGACAGCACAGCAACCCTTACCTTGAACCTATCATCCTTCTTAGCCTTCAGTTCCACGTCCTGGTCACAGATCACTGCAAGTCCCAGCATCAGGTCATAGAGCTCCTTCACACAGTTGGTCTGGCTCTCAAGTTGTTCCTTGAACGCTTTCTGCATTCAGAAGCCAGGAGAAATGGTGATCAGGCAAGGTATTTAGTAATCACACTGTATTCCTCTTGTTCAATGCAACAAACGATGATGTAAACATGCATTTCATTTCTGGCACACATATTTTGATAGTGAACACTGCAAGTCAGAGTTGCTCAAACTTTCACAGCTTAGGGAAATCACAATTGACTTAGAAAATTACCAGTTTATCAAATTGATATCATTAGCAAGCTACATGGTTAATAAACAGAGTGCATTTGCCCGGATGTCAGGGACATCTGAGGGGATATACATCCACAATAATTTTGCTGCTGACCCGTTGTCCAGTGATTGATTTCCACCCGTATTCGACTACACGATGCAGTGTGCTTGCACACGTGTGTACACACTCAGATGTGTCGTTCTTACATCCATGTCCAGCCGCAGCTTCTTGTTTTTATCTCGGATGGTGTCCACTAAGAACTGGTCGTCCGCATCATTCATCAGCTGTACATGTACATGTAACAGATAAGGCAATAGTAAGTTTCAGGTCACACAGTTCAAGCAAAGTAATCCTCAGCAGCAACAGTTCTAACAAATGTACATGTATGTGAAAATATATACCAGGCACAACATTACACAATTTGATAACAAGACTCAGTTGCTCAAACGTGTCATTGCCAAGGAGAGCGTACTATGCAACACATATACACCTGTAGCAATACACACGACACTTCAATTATGAGATTGGTGCTATCACTACGTTATCACCACCAACTAACTGAGTTTGGTTTTCTGTACATATGACATGGTAATTCATCACAACAAAAGTGTTAAACTGTGACGCTACTGACTCAAGCACTTACATTATCAGCCTCCTGCTGCGTAGAAAGCTTCAGGTCTACAATCTCTTCCTGCAATAGCAAGTCACAAGCAAAGTCACCATAGCACCATTAGTCTAAAACACATGAGAGTAAGTAGCTGTGATCAAGAGCAAGGGTTGCTGCAGCTTGCTTTCATAGCCCAGCTTGCCTGCAACACACTCTCTACTTGCGCAAACAGAACCCATTAGAAGGACGGCAGACAATAGGTGATACTGGTATGCCATGGGCTGCTTATATTTCGTTCAGAATGTAGTTTGAATGCAAGCTGACCTGAATAATCTTAGAGAATCCCCTGCAATCGTGTGGTATGCTAACATACCAGCACACAGATGATAATGAATCCATGCCAACCAGTTACACCTTTTTTTTCAGGGCCACCCAACCATGCAGACAGGTTAGGCAAGCCTTACCTTTTTTCTGCGCAGTGTGTCCTCAGACCTGCGCGACTGAGCATTCATCTTGGCGGTGAAGCTGTCCAGAAACTGTCTCCAGATCGCCTCCAGTTGCTTGAAACAGGCAGCCATGTCATCTTGCCACTTGCGACAGAACGCCTTTGTGCTCTTCGGCGGGTAAAACTCTCTGCAAGAGCAGAGCGGAGCACAGCACATGACGCAGCACACAGATCATGTAACGTGTTTTCCGGGGTCAAAGCAGCACTGGCTGTACAGGTAATGAGATGGATTGGAGTTCTGAAAAACACAAACACTTACTTGAGTGCAGAGAGTAGCATCGCCCTCTTCTCGTTGATCGGTTTCCAATCGGCGCTGAGACGGTCCAGTAGCTCGGGTAAGAACATCGGCTCAGGGGCGTCTGTGGCTAGTACATCCTCCCTGTTCAAGATACATGTACACGCACAAGAACAGTACAGTACAGTACAGTACAGTACAGTACAGTACAGACAGTACAGTCGAGCGCCGAAGAACAAACAGCTCAGAATTTCATCAAGCACAGCATACCAGTGTATACACAGTGACTCAACTGCGGTATAGACTGTAATACATGAAGACAAGTACAGTCTAGCCTACAGGCTACAGGCTACAGGCTACAGGCTACAGGCTACAGGCTACGTGCCTGAGGGATATCATCATGACAAACGTTTGGGAGCACTGGCTTACCGACGAGTTAGCATCAGTTCATCCCTCTTCCCCACTTTCCAGTCACTGTGCATGGTGATCATCTTGTCTGTCACTTCCTTCTCCTTCTCCAGACAAGCTACAACCATTTCCAAACACACAACATACGTATATAAACGAGTTTAAAAGATGAAAACACGGTATACCGACTTCATCACTTTTCGGATCAAATGGCCAATAGTGGATTCATGTTATGTGTGGTTTGTAACTATCTAAATCCATATTCGGCCAAACAGCGTTTTTAAAAGTGGTTCTAGTCGGATTTTAAATGTGAAATTTGCCTTAGACCTTTTAAAATGGCACTGATCTCGAATCCCAATTTCTAAAATTTAGCGCTTAAAAGTCGTACAGGGTTTGCAATGAAACTCTTCATGTTTACTGACGTTCTTCATGGCTATGCAATACACCATGGAATGCAATACAAAGTATTTGCCCCTTCACCACACAACTCACATACATGAAGAATGTGAAGAAGTCTCTATCAGATAGAATGGAACAGTCTGACGAAAAAAAGTAGAAAGGTCTCCATCAGAAAAAGTTGCATTGCCCTGGCGGTTAGGTCATAAAGTAGTGAATGCATTGCCTGAGGTCTTACCCAGACTAAGCTGGTACTTCATGTTGGATATAGCACTGCGGTTCTTCTGCAGTTCTTCATTTATTCTCTGCATGCACACACGCATGCACACATACGCATGTACACACACACACACGCACACACACACGCAGCAGTAGAGTGTGCAATTCGACTCTATATCATTGCAATACACACCGCAGTGTAGGTGCTAATACTGTGGCAGGTCATCTAGAGCTTACGCTACTGGTATGCCACCCAAAAGGAAAGAAGACCATCCATCAGAGAAACTCTTCTAACATGAAATATTGACATGCATGTAGATCTAATGTGGAACATTGTTGCAATAAATACTCCTCAGCTTGGAAAATACTCAATGGTGTACTGGTATTGACATGTTATTAGCACAGGGTGGATGCAGACCTACAGTATGAAAGTTGGAGATGTGTGCGCACTTTCAAGGGAGAATCGCCAATTTTTTCTTTTACATTTTCTCATGTGCTGTACTGTACATGTAACACCATTGTGCAGCATCAACAGGCACAAACACGATCATGGAATTGGGAAGCTCATGGTCGAACACAGCGGTACATACCAGCGTTTCCTCGGACATAACTAGCTCCACATCATTCAGTGTTATGGCTCCATAGCGGTCTATCTCCTGACTGGCTGCTTCCACTAAAGGTCTCAGCTATCATATGACAGAGAGACAGGTACCCAAAGCATCCACACACATACACACACACACACACACACACACACACGCACGCACACACACGCACGCACGCGCACGCACACACACACATAACACAGGGAGTACATTTACACATTGCACACTCATGTTCCACAGGGTGCTCTGATGAGGTCAACATAGCTAGCCATCCGGAGATTGGGTATTCTGATTTGTGCAATGCTTTCACGACAGTGCATACCATGATGTTGTATAGTCCTAACTCCTTCAGCGTCCACTTCAGGTATTTCGGCAAGAAAGCACAGAAAGTTACTCAGCCTTCTTTGGTTTTATTAAGGGGCGTACAGGTAGCGTCTATAGCGGCTACAGCGTCTAGACATTAGTAGGAAACACATAGGTGCAGAATATATCCGGCTTTAGAACCGGTTCAGCCAATTTGAGATGGTCGAGCCAACTGTAGTGTAGATGGTCCAGCCAACTGAAGATGGTCCAGTCAACTGAAGATGGTCCAGTCAACTGAAGATGGTCCAGCCAACTGAAGATGGTCCAGTCAACTGAAGATGGTCCAGTCAACTGAAGATGGTCCAGTCAACTGAAGATGGTCCAGCCAACTGAAGATGGTCCAGCCAACTGAAGATGGTCCAGCCAACTGAAGATGGTCCAGCCAACTAAAGATGGTCCAGCCAACTGTACATGGTCCAGCCAACTGTACATGGTCCAGCCAACTGTACATGGTCCAGTCAACTGTAGATGGTCCAGCCAACTGTAGATGGTCCAGCCAACTGTACATGGTCCAGCCAACTGTAGATGGTCCAGCCAACTGTAGATGGTCCAGCCAACTGTAGATGGTCCAGCCAACTGTAGATGGTCCAGCCAACTGTAGATGGTCCAGCCAACTGTAGATGGTCAAGTCAACTGTGGATGGTTCAGCCAACTGTACATGGTCCAGCCAACTGTACATGGTCCAGCCAACTGTAGATGGTCCAGCCAAGTGTACATTGTAGATGGTCCAGCAAACTGTAGGTGGTCCAGCCAACTGCAGATGGTCCAGCCAACTGCAGATGGTCCAGCCAACTGTAGAAGGTCAGTCCAGTCGACTGAAGATGGTCTAGCACACTGTAGATGGTCCAGCACACTGTAGATGGTCCAGCACACTGTAGATGGTCCAGCACACTGTAGATGGTCCAGCCAACTGTACATAGTAGATGGTCCAGCCAGCAGACGGTCCAGCCAACTGTAGATGGTCCAGCCAAGTGTACATTGTAGATGGTCCAGCAAACTGTAGGTGGTCCAGCCAACTGCAGATGGTCCAGCCAACTGTAGATGGTCGGTCCAGTCGACTGAAGATGGTCTAGCACACTGTAGATGGTCCAGCACACTGTAGATGGTCCAGCACACTGTAGATGGTCCAGCCAACTGTACATAGTAGATGGTCCAGCCAGCAGACGGTCCAGCCAACTGTAGATGGTCCAGCCAAGTGTACATTGTAGATGGTCCAGCAAACTGTAGGTGGTCCTGCCAACTGCAGATGGTCCAGCCAACTGTAGATGGTCGGTCCAGTCGACTGAAGATGGTCTAGCACACTGTAGATGGTCCAGCCAACTGTAGATGGTCCAGCCAACTGTACATGGTCCAGCCAACTGTACATGGTCCAGCCAACTGTACATGGTCCAGCCAACTGTACATGGTCCAGCCAACTGTACATGGTCCAGCCAACTGTACATGGTCCAGCCAACTGTATATGGTCCAGCCAACTGTACATGGTCCAGCCAACTGTACATGGTCCAGCCAGCAGACGGTCCAGCCAACTGTAGATGGTCCAGTCAACTGCAAATGGTCCAGCCAACGGTACATGGTCCAGCCAACTGTAGATGGTCCAGCCAACTGTAGATGGTCCAGCCAACTGTACATGATCCAGCCAACTGTACATGATCCAGCCAACTGTACATGATCCAGCCAACTGTACATGATCCAGCCAACTGAAGATGATGGCTTGTAAGATGGTGCAGTAGATAGACAGCTATTCACGCTATTTTTACCTCCTTCAATACAAAACATGGCCGGTCGAGTGAAAAGTGGTGGGGTCATAACATGGGCAGCTGAACAGCATTCTATGTGTATGTTATGCACTTGAGACATTCATATTTCTAGCAAAATAAACATAGACCAGAGTTGACTTTCCAGACAAAATCATTATTATCTGAGGTGTGCGTAACTCACATGTGCCCCTCTTTCTTGTTCTATTTTCTCCAGGCACGCTGCAGACGCTTTGATGTGGTCACGTTGTTGCTCAGATTGGCTCTGTAAATCCTTCAGTATCTCATCCATATCAAACAGACTCTCCCCGGTGACATCCTAGAAATGGGAAGTGAGTATGTGTGTGTGTGTGTGTGTGAGAGAGAGAGAGAGAGAGAGAGAGAGAGAGAGAGAGAGAGAGAGAGAGAGAGAGAGAGAGAGAGAGAGAGAGAGAGAGAGAGAGAGAGAGAGAGAGAGAGAGAGAGAGAGAGAGAGAGAGAGAGAGAGAGAGAGAGAGAGGGAGAGAGGGAGAGAGATGGATAGACGAGATAGAAGTGGAGGAGGGATTATAGAGAAGAGGACAGAGAGACAAACCAGCAGACACAAAGAGAGAATGCATGCTTTAAAATTGCATTGGGAATCGTCCTTGGGAGTCTCACAAAGTATGCTCCAAATATTGACAGGAAAATCACCGTCATGCATACCAGGAAGTCCACACTGACCTTGACAAGAAAGCACAAATAACAGAACTGAAAATAACCAAACAAACCAGAAAGATTCTGTGTGCAATCTGTTGAGACTTACCACACTCTCTATGAACGTAGATATCTTTCGCACAGCTGCAGCAGCAGCAACAACAACAACAACAACAACAAAAACACACACAGTGGCATGCGATTGTGGCACCAAAAAAGGACCCAAGTGGCACCAAAAAGGACCCAAGTGGCACCAAAAAGGACCCAAGTGGCACCAAAAAGGACTCAAGTGGCACCAAAAAGGACCCAAGTGGCACCAATTGCCAGTAATACACCAATAACACAACACCTATACATAACTTTATAAAAGCAAGTTACAGATTGGCAGAGCTTAAAACACTGCAGACTCAGTGGAGAACGTCCAGGTTTGTTGTAACTCCGAGTTTCATGCCGCAAGGCAATCATCAGGTCACTGAAAATGGGGCTCTACCCAGCAGTAGGCTTATAAACACGTAGGGTCATAGGCATAACAAATCTAGCGCGAGATGCAGGTGGGCGCTAAGTCTGGCAGTGTCAGATTCTGCAAGAAAGTTAGTATGGCCCGATGCGTTAGGAGAGGCCGTGGGCAGCGCGGGTGGAGGTGTTAGGTGGATGACGGGCAGCAGGTGGGTGGGGATGTTAGGAGGTCTACGTCTGGTATTATGAGATTGTGAAAGAAGCGCGGACAGAGGCGCTGGGAAGGCAGTGGACAGCAGATGGGTGGTGTTAGGAGAACGGCAGGCAACAGGCGGGTGAGAGCGTTAGGAGGTCTATGGGTGACGGGCGTGAGCAGAGTGGCATAGTGTAACCATCAGCAGGGGATTGTGATATTGGGATGCTCATGCAAAGTACAATACAATACATGTACTTGATCAGCCCATTATTAACAGGTGTGCAGATTATGAGCTGTGATCGGGAAGACCAGAAACAGTTGACACCACCTGCCTTGGTAATTTCAGACCAACACCGCTCTCCACCTCGCTGGTGTGCAGGTTTATGAAGTCAACGATTCAATGGGAGTCTCGTATGCTCTGGACAGCAGGCGCGAGTTGGAGTCAGTCAAGTGCCAAGAAAAGTACCAGCTCACACGTAGGGAGGAACACACAATCCAGGAATAATGTATTCTTTACATCAGTACTTGCCCAGAATAGTACTATTTGTTTCAGACCATTACCTGCCTGGTGAGGATGCAGCGCTTCCTGGAGAGCATCTAGCTGAGCAGCAACCTTGCGATTCACATCCTAGATACGATGGGCAGACAGGAGCAATAATAGCAAGCCTTGTGCTTCTGAATTTCTATTACTAGTACTTGACAATGAGGTGTGATAACACGAGCCATACCATAGACTCAAGTCCTATGCTGGTACAAGGTACTGCTCACATTATTTCAATTAACCAAGCGAACACCGCTTAAAGCACTTTCCGCATTCGGGAGCATAGTGGACTTAGTTTTTTTTTAAACCTTACAGTATTGTGTACCAGCATGTGACCTGCTCTAAAGATATGTCTATTGAAATGAAGGACACGTCAGGTATTCTGTGGGATGCAAAAGCAAAACAGTTGGTACACACGTGTATCAGTATGCGGTATTTGTATAGTAAGATAGCCTTTTGCTGTCTGATGCGCATGCACAGTGAGGTCCAATAGCAGCTGATACGCACATGTGCAAGGAGTGCCAAGGACATTATGATAATTATACAGTTTTCAGACTCACCACAATAACTGCATCACACTTTCGATGGAAGTCCTTCAGAATCTCTTCCCGTCTGCAAGACAGGCAGGACAGCAACAGTACAATGTGTAGCTAGTGTTTGGCAAAGAGAATACCGTGCCTTATTGTGGTGTGCTGTGGAAATTTGAAATCCCCCCCCCCCTCCACGTTCACAAGAAGATTTTGACTTCCAATGATGACCCAACCTAGCTACTGCAAAGCACCAGTATAATTTTGTAATATATACTATAGTCACATAAGCAAACAGTCACAAATCTTCCTGACTCCACTCACTGCTAAAATACATAAAGAACACGCACATTCTCTTATTAGTCAGTTATGTGTCAATACCCTGGCTATGCTGATCTGAAGCACGGTTAGTGCTGGCACATGAAATCCAGCTTCATGACTAACAGCTCCAGGTATGCCAATGCTCTACCGCCTAGGCTATGAACACTAGAGTGTGCAGTGGGTGCCAATCTGCTTGGTCTTGTAGGGTTGGATTTGTAAGGTTGGATTTGTAGGGTTGGATTTGTAGGGTTGGATTTGTAGGGTTGGATTTGTAGGGTTGGATTTGTAGGGTTGGATTTGTAGGGTTGGATTTGTAGGGTTGGATTTGTAGGGTTGGATTTGTAGGGTTGGATTTCATATGCCACCACTGTACAAGTACATGCATGAGCGGATCATCCATAGCCATGTGGTTAGTACTGCTGTACATAGCCATGTGGTTAGTACTGCTGTACAAGTGTTAGTTGTGTTGCCTTACCTGGCTAGCTTGCTGGCAGCCATGCGCTCAACAAGACCGGTGCGCTGAGTCTGGTATGAGGACAGGTCTGCACATAAACACAGTCATAATGTTCAAGACATAAACTACTGCTGCTGCTGCTGCTGCTGGAACGCAAGGATGCCAATCATGTAATGAACCGTGATGATTTCCACGAATGATTACTTGCCCGAATACCAATTCAACAAACGAACGAATAATCTACTATTATGTTCATCCTTCCAAGTTGGAGAGACGTTGGTGAGCGTTATCAAGCAGTGCTCAAGCTCACTTCCTTGCCGTGGAATGACTCAGTACTCCTTGTCAGTCTGGTGCTACCTTGTGCACGTCGGACTGTTCAACACCTGGTTTAGTTGGTGGGCTCTAACGCATACCTTGTGCCGCACCGTTTTCCTTGCTTCCACTTAATACGTAAGATGCTCTAGTGAGATTTCCATTTCCTGCAGTCCCGTTTGAAAGACTGTGCCTAAGCATTCACTACGGTTCACTGACCATGCTTTCCGACAGATGAGAGAAACAAAAGGCTACTTAATATACATGTCCACGAGATGAGCATACGCCGTTGTTGCCATCCTATCACTGTCAAGGTTCTTTTTACAAAACATGTCTAAATTCTGTCAAGTATTCCAAAACAGAGCCACCACATTCCCACCATACCTGTGTGCGTGTGTGTTTGTGTGTGTGCCACGGAGTGAGAAAGAGAGAGAGAGAGAGAGAGAGAGAGAGAGAGAGAGAGAGAGAGAGAGTCGGGGAGTTTGTGCATGTGTGGGTATCTGTGTGAGTATGCGTGCGTGTAACTAACTTCTGGCGTCCTAATCTGCAGAGCACTGCTCCGGAAAGACAAGGGTGTTGGTTTACAGAGAAACCCATTCATTTGTTGGAACATACCGATTCAAACAAACAAGCCAAGTTATTACTAGGGTAGGACACTGGCGAAGAGAAGTTTTTACAATGCCCGAGGATTACTTTACAACTATGCTCTGCTACACAGTCCAGAGAAGGTAGCTACATTAGAACACTCCTTTGAGAGAGAATAGGAGAGTATACCCCCTCACTCCCCCCCCCCCCCCCCTCACTCCCCGGTCATACACTCTAGCTAGGGTATAGATATGCAGATACCACTGAACGCGGGGAAGTGAAGACACACAAGATGAAGTTGAAGAAGCACCCAAAAGCCAACACAACACAGCCATTGCATTTGTAAAGATTACCGGTATCATGTACCTGTCACTCCTTTCATTTTTCTTCTTTTTTTGGTGCGTTTTATGTCCCCATGACGTCGAGACCTCAGGTCGGCTGAGGGCAAAAAGCCTCACCATCACTATGCTCCCACTATGCAATTTTTTGTCTTTGCCTGTGAGCTGTGATCATTGTAAAAAAATAAAAATAATAAACAGAGTCCTGACTGCACACGGGACATGCACCTGTACTCGTACCGGCTTACCTGGATTGACTTCCAGCGAGAGTATATCAGACTGAACATCGTCTACCCAGTCCCACGGCTCTTGCCGCTTTTTCTTGGGCTTTGTTGACAGCATGGTGGTGATAATGGTCCTTCTCGCTTCAGTCTCTGTTCAACATAGTGAGCGCAAGGTTCGCTAAGGAGCTTTCGCGTCTCCAGTACCTGCCAACAGCTCTCGGCTGGCTCAAATAGCTTTGAGGATATTTTCTTTGATGGACTGGTACACACTGCCCAGGAATCGTGTGTTTGCTTGAAACAGACACTACCTATAATTATCATCAGTTCAAATCACCAATGACATTCATCAAGGTAAAATAATGTATCAATTTTGGTGTTACAAAATAATTACAACTACGGTGAATATTGCTACATTGCGTGCAGCGTGCTCTCTACCAATACTGGCAATACTCAATACTACAATAGCCTAGGCACTAAGCATAAAGTAAGCTCGGCTACACCATGGCATAGGCATAGTACTATTAGTAGATCTACCAGGACCAACGGCAACGGGCAATGGCAGGAGTTCCCATTCTCCGTTCACAAACATACCGACCTTCCAGACCTTGCATAGAACTAGAACAGGCTAGGCTAGGCGTCGCTCGATTTCGAGTTTTGGCTAGTGTTCGTCGTTGTCCAGGCAACATCTCCCGCACGCGCACCTCACTGCTCGACACCATGGTGACTGACACTGGTTGCATGTGCATGTACGTAGATCTACGTGATTACACTACAGACTGTAGTACCAAGAGTACATAACCCCCCCCCCCCCCCCCCGCAAACTACAAAAAAGATGTGTACACGTGACATGGACTGCTAGCTACATGATTGTCATGCATCAGTGCACTCGACTCTCGACGACTCGAGAGTGTAGGCAGTGATACCACACACGATTGACTCCGAAAGTGAAAGTGCTGCATTCAGATCAATAATCAATACGGAATTTGCCTTGCTTGGATTTGCAAGGCGGTTATGCAATAAGCTTGTAAACGTAATGATTAGGCGAGGACATAGAATTAGAATGATGTACTTCGAGTATTAGCACTGCCAGCCAATGGCAGCCATGAACAACTGAAAATGATTCTTGTGGACGGGAATGTTATCATGCGAAGTCATTGTGGGTGATATGTCTGCTGGATGTGTATTTATGGATAATGCCTGGTCTGGGGCTTAGTTTGGTACTATACTATTAGTACATGTACCGACTAAGCAACTACCGGTATTAGTATTACTACTATTAGTATTACTCAATCTGCGGACAGAACTGTTTCGTCCTTTGTGGACTCGTCAGCGCAGCACAGAGGAAATGAGGCCGAACCTGATAGCAATGGAAAGAAAAATTTCCAATCAGGCCCGAGCCGCCCGAACGTACCTTGCCAGATGCAGAGTGCTCAAACTGACAAGTCAGTGAGCTCTGCATAACGCAAACAGCAAAGGCACTACCCCACGCAAGAGTGCTCAACTGCTACAAGAGCAGGAGCGAAATACTCTATTCAGGGGCGTCGGAAGCAGTTTAACATTGGTGCGGCGAAAGTGTGAGAGGGGTCCGGGGTCCTCCCCCGGGATTTTTTTTGAAAATTGGGCCTAAAAGGCCATATTTTAATGCTACAGAATAATATGGGAAATAAGCTTATAAGAATATGCATGCTGATGACACACCGCATTGTCGATGTAAAACAAGGTTGAAAATGTAAAAAAAAAAAAAAAAAAAAAAACTTCCAAAAGTATTGGTACGGCTTTGGCCGCACCTGCCGCACCGGTTCCGACGCCCCTGCTATTACATGTACTCAGCACACATCCATGGCCTAACTCGGAACTCCTGTCTCGTTCTCTGCACCATGCACTGAGTCAATGACCCTGGGTATTCTGTAATGCACTAAAAATAGACTCGTCAACATGTGGGCATACAGCGGCCCGATCAGTACTGAAAAGTAAAACGCTATTTCTGCACACGAGTAGTAGTACTAGGTTACAGAGGTACATGTAGTATGATGTACCAGGGAGTAGGCACCGGCGGATAATGCTAGTTATATGAGGAAATTGTGCTACTAGCACTGCTAGTTATTTGGAGCGATTATGCTAGTTATAATGCTAGCAGTGCCGATAGTGCTACGAAAATGTCAATCCATACGGTGGGAAATAATGACTTCCCTATGCAGTCACTCGGAATATGGCAGTATCACAGGACAACTCCAGACCTGCCAGACTCTTTGCCAGTACATGGAAGCGAACAAATCTCTGATGAATCTTCAAATCTGCATCCACATACCGCAGAACCACTGCAAGTGCCTCTCCCAGGCGGGAAGTTCCATCAAATATGACAGCCACATACGGTGCACCTGATATCTCCTTCTTTAATTCATCTTCCTCCTTGCAGTGCAGGAATGGAATCAGCTGAGCCATGTGAGTGCTATATGTTAAACGTCCGTAACCACTCTCCAGGAGAGGGCGCAGGTAATCCACCTTACTGAGCGGAATTCCAGCCTTTAGGAAAGTCTCAACAACGTTGGCCCGCCGAACAACATCTTCGGACACAGCTTGTGACAGACCGCTTCCCGCCAGGTCAGACGTGCTTTCACTTGAAAACTTTTTCCACGAAATAGTTATTGCCTGTTGGTGAAGTTTTGCCCGTTTCTTACTCTCCTTTCCTTGCACATGTCGTTGGCTATTCACATGCGCTTTCACAATGCTGTGCTTGATACTGATCGTCAAGTTACAAGCTGTGCAGTAGAGTTTCCCCGCAGAAACTGAGAGGTACTCGCCTGGGAATTCTGCTATCCGATCGTGGGTGCTGCGTCGAGGAGCTGCGGTGGATTTCCCAGCTGACACTCTCACGCGCTTCGCTTCCGAATTCTGGCTCGAGTCGCTTGACTTTCCACTTCTTGCAAACGACCTTTTGCGGGCAATAGCAGCTGGTTGTGCTGCTGGAAGACTGTCGGCTGCCGCGTTCTTTTCCAAGTCAGAGCTTCCCTCTTCGCAAACAAAGCCATCACTCTCACTGCTCTCATCTTCTGTTTCAAAACCAGAGCCTCCGTCTCCCGTAGCTGCCATCGGGCCAACAAATTACGACAAGCTACGACAGTACAACTAGTTTGCTCACTTATAGCGAAGGACTCACCACTTTTATAATTATTTTCACTGTCAACAACGACTCAACATGCTAAAGTTGAAGGCCGAAATATTTACAAACTACCGTTCTTACTTGGAAAAGACTCGCCGTATCATTGACATTGAACTTCAAGACAAGCATTGCAAATTTGGAAATCAAATTTGCAAAAAGTGTGCACAATGCTATATTTAGCTCCAAGTACAAGTCAGTGCAGTTTGAACAACTCCGTAAACGCAGTAAACAGTGCCAAACACGCTTCTGGCAACGGTGGCATCCAGCATACACTTTCATCTTGACGTAGTGCTAGTTTCACACATCGATTGTGCTAGACAAGGTCACATTTGGAGGCTTTATGCTAGGGCAGTGCCGGTCTTCCCCACATGGGTCATTATGCTAGTTATTATGCTAGCATTATCCGCCGGTGCCTACCAGGGAGTCGTCAAATACCGGTATTTGACGACTCCCTGGCGACTCCCTGCTAGGTACTCAACAAAATACTAATAGAACAGCCATAAACACGTAACCATGGTAACGATCCTAAGAAGATGAGGGCTTGAAAGTGCTACGTCACAGCATAGCAACAATTTCAAAAATTCAAAAATTGGATCCACTTGGATCCAGTTTTTGTATGGATCCAAGCACATTTCAAGCCGTCTTACTCTCAGCAAGGTGATGTAACCAGTGAAACTGACTGATTTGGCTAATGGGGCCGGGGTTACAACTGGTGGCGAAATAAAAGTCACACCTGCATGCGACATGAGTGGGTTGCTATGCACCCACATACTTAGGCAATAGCAAAGTCACACCTTAGTGGATCCAAAAATAGAAATCTGATGTCAACTTACTACTCCCTGGCCGTTTTGACGTCATCACTTTCAAGCCCTAATGCACCATGTACCATTCGCAACAGCTGCACGGCCCCGAGCGCGAGCGGAGCATGCGATGATGCAGCCAAACCATCAATGACATCTTGCAAACTAAACGTTACTTACTGGCACTGCGGGCAGCACCATGTACCAGTGTGTACGTATGTATGCGCCTGTTTGACGCATTCACGTCGTTGCAAATACACGCACCGACAAGAACAATACATATGTACATACGACAACATGCAACAAAAATAACAATCATTCAACAAGCAACAGTGTGCATTTTATTCCTCACGTCTTGAGTTGTTGAAACAAAGCGACTATCTGCTAGGACGCTCATGTTAGCAACGTTAGTGGAGGCTTGAGCATACCGTGTACCTCAGGGACCTAGTGTGGATGTTGCACTGGGCTCTTACGTTTCTGCTTGACATCAGCTGCATCCCTTCCGCTTCCTCCTGATCGAGTCGATTCGAAGATAATAAGTGGTCTTGAGACGCCCTCTGAAAGCAGTACTCGCTGGCTTGGTTTGTGAGGAGGGACCGTGATCAGTGTCGGCAGACATGTTTCACGCACCGAAGGCGAAGAAGAACCCCAACACCTGGGATCCACCGTTCATGCCGCCCATCATCCACAACATCGCTCACAAAGACGAGATCTGGTAAGAGAGAGAGAGAGAGAGAAGTCTGCATACTTATTAGTGTGTATACAGTCATGTACAATGTATTATTGTTGAATCGCTCCATACAACTTTACAAGTGTGTAACGATTGTGTGTATGCATGTGTTGAATCGCTGCAAGGAACATCATGTGACCAAGCCAAAACGGCAAAAGGATAATCACTGAGTCAGACATAATAATTTATGTACTCAAATCAGATGTGGATTTGTTTTTTTGTCATTTTTTGTTTTTTGTTTTGTTGGGGGGGGGGCGGAATCAGTGGAGTTGGTCCAGCCGTGGCAGGACCAACTCTTTGGCCACCGGCATGCGTTTGCTGCTGAGGAGGTCATGCGCACCTGTCATACCATACACAACATATGAGACAGAGTATGGTAAGGCCAGACCTGTTAAAACTGCTTCCACTGGTCTTGGGGGGGGGGGGATATAAGCTGCACAGTACAGAATACGGAATAGGCCTGACACCAATATACTGCGCTTTGGGGTAACTAGAGTATAGACGAAGCTCAAGAACTGTTACTTCCATGCAGCGTGGAAAAACCAATAAGTAAGACAATCTCCAAGACTGGAGTTGGGAATGTCATGCGGAGTGCACATGCACTCTGCATGAAGCAAAACTCTGTCACTAGTACCACCAGGCCTAGAGTGTGATACATCCTAACACTTATCATTCAATCCATTTCCTGTGAATATATCTGTCATCTGTCAACATACCGTAGACAGAGATAGAGACAGAGACTGAGAGAGAGACCGACACAGAGACCGAGACAGAGACTTATCAATACGTTTCCTGCGAATATATCTGTCATCTGTAAACATGCAATGGACAGACAGACAGAGACACAGGCACAGAGAGACAGAGAGAGAGCGAGAGAGAGAGAGAGAGACACACACACAGACACAGAGAGAGAGACAGACAGAGACAGACAGACACAGAGCCAGAGAGAGACAGAGAGAGACAGAGGGAGACACAGAGAGAGACAGAGAGAGGGAGAGAGACAGAGGGAGACACAGAGAGACAGAGAGAGAGAGACAGAGAGAGAGACAGACAGACAGACAGACAGACAGACAGACAGACAGACAGACAGACAGACAGACAGACAGACAGAGACAGAGAGACCGAGACACAGACTTATCAATACGTTTCCTGTGAATATATCTGTCATCTGTAAACATGCAGTAGACCGAAACAGACAGACAGACACAGACGCAAACAGACAGACTAATATAGAGAGTGATAGAGAGACAGAGAGAGGGAGACAGAGACCGAAACAGACAGACAGACAGACAGACAGACACAGATAGAGAGAGACAGTGAGAGAGAGAGAGAGAGAGAGAGAGAGAGAGAGAGAGAGAGAGAGAGAGAGAGAGAGAGAGAGAGAGAGAGAGAGAGAGAGAGAGAGAGAGAGAGAGAGAGAGAGAGAGAGAGAGAGAGAAAGACAGAGAGAGACAGAGAGACAGAGAGAGAGAGAGACAGACAGACAGACAGACAGACAGACAGACAGACAGACAGACAGACAGACAGACAGACAGAGAGAGAGAGAGAGAGAGAGAGAGAGAGAGAGAGAGAGAGAGAGAGAGAGAGAGAGAGAGAGAGAGAGAGAGAGAGAGAGAGAGAGAGAGAGAGAGAGAGAGAGAGAGACAGAGAGAGACAGAGAGAGAGAGAGACAGAGAGAGACAGAGAGACAGAGACAGAGACAGAGAGAGGGAGAGACACAGAGAGAGGAAGCTGTGTTGCAACTCAGAGTTTCACGTTAAAGGGGAAGTTAAGGCTAAAATCAAAATGTCACCAGGTGTAGTCTTCGGGGTGCTGAGTCGAATGGTCTTGGTCCGAGGAAGCTGAGACGCTCCCTTCCTACTTTAATCCCAATCGAACTCGCGCACTTCCACCGAAAGTGGGTGACTGCGCCCTACTAGATGGGGATTTGTATGCAAAATGTCACTAAAAGCGCCACTTCGTTCTTATAAAAGCACGGATGACCGCGATTGGCCCATATGTTGTAGACTTTTGGACGCGGAGTCGACTGGTTTTGGTCCGAAAAGGCTGCGGTGCAGCGTTCGGCCCTTATTCCCAACGAACACGCTTGAACAAGCGGCCACGTGCTCCTGCGTACACCAGTCACCTGGTCACCGTGACTGCAGGGTACAACTTATAGCCTGTTTGACCTTTTTCTGGTGCAGTCCTGTCACTCGAGTTGAACTCGAGTTGAACCTTGGTGTGAAAGTTGTCGCTTGCTAGTGCTGGGACCAGGTGACTTGGGCACGCAGGAGCACGTGACCACTTGTTCAACCATGTTCGATTGGGAATAAAGGAGGAATGCTGAATCGCAGCTTTCTCGGACCAAAATCAGTTGACTCAGCGTCCAAAAGACTACAACATATGGGCCAATCGCGGTCATCCGTGCTTTTATAAGAACGAAATGGCGCTTTTAGTGACATTTTGCATACAAATCCCCATCTAGTAGGGCGCAATCCCCCATTTTCGGTGGAAGTGTGCGAGTTCGATTGGGATTACAATAGGAAGGGAGCGTCTCAGCTTCCTCAGACCACGGCCATTCGACTCAGCACCCCGAAGACTACAACTGGTGAAATTTTGATTTTAGCCTTAACTTTCCGTTTAATCACAGCGGCACCAGGCAGGGAGAAGTAACGTGAAACACTGAGGTGCAACACAGCTTCCTCTGTCTTTACAGTGTAGAACGCTCTGAATTAAGTTATACTGTATGCATGGCCATTGAGCAATCTTCGGCACGGCAGTAGATTATCTTATATGCTTACGTGTATATCATCTGTGAACGTACAGGAAGGCTCATATTCGGGATTCGGATCGACTGCAAAGCCGGTGGCCGGACACATGGGGCTTCCTGAGCATTGAGTATAAGAAAGTGAGTGTTGCTGTGCTGCTGTTTTATGATTTCTAGGCAGATACTTGTACTTGGAGTAACCGCAATACATCTCATGTTGTTCCGCCTTTTTCAGGGAACTCTGGCATTGTTGCGTGTGAGTGAGAGAGAGAGAGATGGGAGGGGGAAGAGGGGTAACAATGAGATAATGATGATAATGTGGTCATAAATTTTTTTTTAAAAGAAGAGGTTGGTGCGACTTCGACGATACTTGGGGAATTGCGTGTTGCGCCTAGGGACCGGCGGATTCTGCTCGAAAAGGTGGCAGATTCTGCTCGAAAAGCAGTAAAATTGGCAGAACGATACAAACTTTATGGCGGGCAATTCCTCGAATTCTGCTCCATTTCTTTATCCACATACCAAACATGCATGAAACTTACCAGAAAAAGTACCGAATTCTGCCAATTTTTCTGTCGGCAGAATCCGCTGGACCCTAGTTGCGCCCTACGTGGGAGCTCGCGCTTTTCTGCCGACTTGAATTCTCACTTGATTGACTCACGACTGCCATCCGGAGCACACGAGAATCCCATCGAACCGTCCACTCGGCAAACCTGCAAGAAAGCACCACTCCCTGCTCAATACACAGTGTTTCGGGGAATTCACCCCTTATCAGTTGAGCTGGAGTAGGCTGAGGAAGATTGTGCCTGAAGAGCACCACTTATGTAGTGCTCTCCAGGCACAAACATCACCAGGGATACAAAATTACAGAGCCGCTCCGTTTCTAGGGCGATGAACACCTTGTGAACACCAGATAGCAGCGTGAGTCAGTGCCGCTCATGGAGGTGCTTAACTGTTTAGCACCGGCTCCAGACAAATGTGCCCTTATGAACCCTCTAGTAGTGACTATCGACTGCATTTTCCTTGAATGGCATGAAAGAACACAAAATCGACAAATGAGTAACAGGGGGGGGGGGGGGCGCTTTCTCACAGAGGGGCGCTCAATCACAGTAGTAGGGCGCTGCCCCCCCCCCCCCTTCCCTACCCTCCTTTGGCTAGAACCCAGAAATATGTTTTACTTTTAGCTAGCATAGAAATGCATGGATACGTGTATGTGCGTGTGTGTGTGTATGTGTGTGTGTGTGTGTGTGTGTGTGTGTGTGTGTGTGTGTGTGTGTGTGTGTGTGTGTGTGTGTGTGTGTGTGTGTGTGTGTGTGTGTGGTTGTATGTGTGTGTGTGTGTGTGTGTGTGTGTGTGTGTGTGTGTGTGTGTGTGTGTGTGTGTGTGTGTGTGTGTGTGTGTGTGTGTGGTGTGTGTGTGTGTGTGTGCATGCTTGCATAATTATATCCAATTGCTTTTCCGTTTTGTGGCCAATTTATCTTTGCGTCAAATTTAGATATCATATGCAACTGATGAGGCCAGGAGAAAGGTGCTGGCCGATCACGTAGCCAAAAATCCAAGTGATGTGGTCAGACTCCATGAGCTCGAGCGCCAGAGGGCCCAGTGCGCACGGAATGCTCACGAGCTCGAGAAACTGGAGCGCTGGGCAAGGGAGGGCACGCCGCCGGTTGGCCGAAGCTTTTGGGGCACGCAGCTGCCACCGATTGTCCAGCCAGACGGCGTGAAGACCAAGAGCTCTTTTGTCACACCAGGCGTGCCTCTCATTAGGAGCAAGGAGCTGGGATGGCGTGGAACACGTGTTAACCTGCACCAGTACGAGAGGGCTAGTGACAAGCATCCTATCGGTGACATCAACAAACAGCTGGGATGGCCCAAGGGAGGTTGCTACAGAGATGTGTAGAACTACTAAAACACCGAGTACATGTACATAACGAAACGTCTCCGTTGAGTTTCTGCCACTGATGATTGATGCTATGGCACCGGCATAATTATATCTATTTCTATAACAAACTAACTTCCGGATGGGTTGTAATCATTGCTTTTTCCATACACATGCCACCTATATCCTATAATTCTCAGTGTTTCTCACCCTCAGTTACACAGGCTACTGAACCTCTCCAGTGCTCAACTCAATACCTCATGATAGCAGTATCAGTTCATGTACTTGTACTTGTATAATCGGAGGAAGAAACAATGAACAATGCCATTTTCAATACATTCCACAGTTGGCATGATAAATTTTGGCTCAGTTTTATAGCCAGGGGTCGAAATTGAACTCCAAATACATCATAGTACTAATATAGGTACATGTACTATCAATGTACATGTACGATCAATGTACTATCAATGTACGATCAATGTGCGATCAATGTACATGTATCATACATCATACATGTATGTCTAGCATGATTTTCCTTTTTCTTCCTCTCCAAGACTATTATCATTCAGCAAAACACCTCCATGATAAGAAATAGCTGCTCCCACAAGGTCTGTGATACGTTGAAAGGTTGCATTCAACGTTACTGCGCCTAACAAACTATTAGTATTACTTCATTCATGCTAGCATTACCAATCATAGAGACCAAGGAACGTCGCTGTTGCTGAGGTACCCGACTACAGACTACACGTGCAATGTGCATGTGAGGAGTTCTATTCTCCATGGCAACACAAGCGTTGACCGCAGTTATCGGGAAATCACAGCAGTCTCGTTACTATGAGTCTTTCTATGCCGCTCCCCTTCTGATCCTCAACAGGGCCTAGGCTAGGGAGTAGATAATACCGGTACTAGTACATGTAGTACCATTAGTCTAGCAAGAGTCCATAACCCCAAGCCAAGCCCAAGGTTATGGACTCTTGCTAGTACTGGTAGGATGGTCATACGTATCTAATATTGACTGAGTACGAGGTCAATATAATAATATAATATATATATATAGGAAATAAAAGCCGAGTAAAAGACCGAGGCGAAGCCAAGGTCTTTTACGAGGTTTTATTTCCTATACTGACCAAGTACGAAGTCAATATTAGATTTATCACGACAAACAATCCGTATTTCAAATTCCAGAACGATAACATGAATCCCGGTTTTATGATTGCACAACCGTTGCACCGCCACCTACTCATGCAGTGACAATGCTGCACTAGGCACCGTTCAACTGCCCAACCCCTAAGCAGTCAAATATAAGCAGTCAATATAGCCCTAAGGAGTGAAATATGCAGGAATATTGACTGCTTAGGTATAGCGAAAATCAATGGGAGTCAATACTAAGGGAGTGATAAAGTCGTGTATTGTCACATTGCCGTTTCCGTGCTGCCTTCTAGATACATACGTATGTACTATTATCATGTGCACATTCACATGTCTGAAGGTCTGTGGTTTTTCAATAAAATAAAAAATAAAAAAAATTGTAGATCTATATATACAATGTATTTAATATTTACACGTGACCACCCCCGCAGACCAGTCCCGCATATGCATAGCTATGTAACTTCGTTGTTCATGTGAAAGGGAGATCTAGTACAATGATATTGTGTTACAAACCTCAAGTCAAGTCATTTTCATCCTTGATTCCTTCATTACAATACCCTGCAGATCTACAAGTACATGACTGTGTTTACAAGTACCGGTATTCGTTTTGGCAATGGCAGAACACCTACATTACATGTCATGTACTAGTAGTAATAGTTCAAACATGAATGCAGAGCGTATGAACAAAAGACCAGCCCTACCCACCGATCCATTTCGGTTTGATACATCTCGCCTCACTCGCCAGGATAGACTCACTCCACATACATGTACATGTACATGTACCTGCAATTTACCCATGGCTATGTCGTGCGGTAACAAGTAAAGATTTAACACCTAGGCTATGGACTATGGTGAGGACAATAGACGAAGGCGTTTAAAAAAAATTAATAATTGTACTAGTATCATCATGTTTAATGTTTAGTGAAGCAGTCGGCTAGACTCGACTCTGATCCGAGTTTCTAGTAAGAACATGAGCACGCTTGCATCTGTACAAAGAGATTGCTCGGATGGGTTCGTTTCCAGCGAGTCGGGCGTGATCAGATGCTGTTGCCAACTCTTTCCCAGACACTGGGGGCTTTGGAGGTCACCCGGTTTTCGTGTACCCAACAACTTCAACAAGGCAACATGCCGCGTTAGCAACACAGTGTTTTCACAGTGCTCTGCGGACAGGCGAAGACCTGGTGATGCCATATCGGTGCGCGATCCACGATGCATGCCTGTGCATGGCTCGCATCGCAGCTCAGCTGTGAATCTTACCGATTACCCTATTGCTGTAATGAATACAGTTTACTATTGTCGAATACTAAGCTCTAGTCTAGACTGCAGCCAGTTCTATGCCACAGGCACAGACAAGCTCGACTTATTGGCTACCCGTTCTCTACGGCTCATGCATGTTCCCAACATGGAGCATGTCGTTACACAAGCAGTGACAAAGTCAAAGAGTCCAGCCAGCAAAGCCAAAGGCGCTGCCTTGAAGCGCCAGGCTGCTGATGAGGTGGCTCGAGTCGTGGTGCGGCCAAGCATTCCACGCGACATGTATACTGTCGGTATCGAAGTCAGCACAAGTATCGGAACTGATCCCTGGGACCCGTACCCACCGTGACCCCCATGCCTTGCCCAAGCCCAAGCCAAGGACAAGGGCAAGAGATCGTCGGGTGGAGTCTCACTTAAATCTTTCAGACTCAGACTCAGAGCACCATGTACCCGCGATGCTGCGTGACATAACTCATAAGGCCGGTCTCACGTGCCCAACTGTGTCCCAGCTCCAAAAGGAAAAACTGCCCCAGCTCTAGCTCTACGCGTCGGCTTTGGTGATTCCAGGTTTAGCAACAATGCTGCCGAACACTGACCAAGCTAATCAGCAGCGATGCTATTTTAAGAGCGGGCACTTGGCGATATCAAAGATGCGCGTGCATCTGGAGAGACTGGACGAGACGGAGGATTGAAGCCTCCAAGTAACTATTTGACCTTGTGTAACCCAGCGAACGAAATTCGAATCTCGACACAATGTGGGGTCGGTTGCATTCTTTATGATGGTTCGGGGCCACGTTGATACACTGTACCAGACTACGACCATGTACATTTACAATCCCTTCATGCACTTTACAACTGTCTGCATGGCAGCAATCTCTGGGAATATCATGATGCTTCCCTCCTTGTAGTCCTAGCCTTCTTTTTGTTCCTATCACCTGCAATGTATCCCCTTGATCATCTACACTGTAGCCTGTAGGTACGGTACAGTGTGTCGAATTCAAGACATACACGATAACCTGTACATGTCCCTGTACTCGTATCTCATGAGTCTCGTTCTCGCCCAATCAAAAGTTACATTGTACGTTTAGTATTCACTTTTATCTCTCAGCCTATACACACTCTCGCTCTCTCATTCACTCGCCCGTCTCACCGTCTCCTAACGCCAAGACCAAAAGGCGAACGGCTGTTGCCTGTTGGCTTACCTCACCAGAGCAAGCTCCATCTTGGAGCCCCGCTGGCGCAGGTGGATCTTTGCATTGAGTACTGCCTGTCCCCGGCCCCCACCCCTTTCTCACGAGTAACGTTGAAGTTGCGGCTTGGGTAGAAATATCTCGACTGTTGAGTGCCCGTATTGTAGTAGTATTCTAGTAAGCAAGTTACAGGTATGCAAATTTCAATAGAAGGTTGACGGTGACGTGACACCTTGTGTCACTGTTGCTGCAAGCGACAAACCAGCTGAGGTTTCCTCTTCACGTCGGTGTACTGGTCAAAAGTGGCTAGCCGGGGATCAGGGGAATCGGCGCTAATACCACAGTACAGTAGTACCGGTTACTTTGAGCGTTATACTAAGTTACATGTACATGATCGTACATCAGTATATCCGGTATATCCGGTATATACTAAGTGCATGTGAATCATGTGCTGGAGAAAATCCGGTAGGAACTTCAGCAAGTTTAACTAGCTTGTAGCAAGTGGCAGACTAAGGGTTACAACTTACATAGATAGTGATGAGCCGCGCCCTTAATTATCATATCTAACATTAACTCATTGTCACTATATTTTCCAGGGGGGGGGGGGGGCATGAAAGCCGAGAACGTCTAACACTAACAGCAATACGGAGGATTAGCAAGACGAAATTCGCGTTCGCGTTCGCTCTCCAAGGAAAGTCGAACTCAGTGACGGGATTCGCGTTATGAGAAGGATTAGCAAACAGAATTCGCACATGCATGATGTTGACACGACGTACATTGTCTACAGACAGTACAGCGTGGTAAATTTATGACTGCCCTGACACGAATCCGCGATTCGTGTTCCGACTACTTTTCCGAACGAAAAATGCGAAAGTTCGCAATGCAGTTCGCGAACTGAAAAATGTTTGCGAACGCGAACGCGAATTTCGTCTTGCTAATCCTCCGTAATAATTGGGAACACATCTCGTCATGTACATGGATATGTACTTAGATGAAAAGAAAGACATGAAAGTGCCCTCCTGAACAAACAAGAAAATTAGCAGTGGCCGACTAGATACATGTACCGCACTAGTTAGCAGCTCAGACTCCCTGTTGCAAACACTGCTTCACATCCGCTCTCTAGCTCTGCGGCCGTCGTGTGAGAGTGATGCCGATGATATCAGTCAGATGGCATGCTGACCAGAATGATAACAATTCCCATAATACCATTACCGCAGTACTGCTACTGCTACAATAAACATGTACGTGTACCTGTACAATCATTCGAATACATTATCTACATGTACATACAGTCATGTAGCTATGCATTCGATGGTGATTCTTGGAGCGGATTAGCCAGTCTTGTTAATACATGTACATGCAAACATCAAACCGGTTGACGACTGGACGGACATTCATGTATATTCCTGTACGCAAATTGGATCAGCCTACAGGCAAGTCCGGACCTACCTAGAAAATACACTACATGCAGACAGGTGTAAAACAGCAGAACAATTTGCAAACACTGATAGTAGATAAAACCAAGAGTACATGTACTCTTGATAAAACTCGTTATGAGACACAAAATGTTGAAACCTCCGGGGTTATCAAATACTGAACGAGGGTAGACCTGCTCATTTCCTCATACAAAATACATGTATGTGCTCTGAATCATTTGGCCACGCCACCAGGATTGAGCCTTTAGATACTGTACACAACAACAACAAATTCGAACTCAAAAGAGTCCAATCACATGTTGTCCTTTACCAAAACCCACTAAAGGAGTACAGTAGTAGCAGTAGAGTATTATAACACCCGGCACCCCTGCTGGGGCTTGCTACTAGTACAATACTCTTGGTACAACTGTTACAGTCATAGTGTACACTCTACCTACCAGTTACTGATGTGCATGTGTTGCAGGAAGGAAACACTGCTTGTGACGATCTCATCGTCGCAGTGAACTCGATTTCGACTCCCTTACCTGCTTTAGCACCGATTTTTGCCAAGCGATGCTTATCAAAGTAAGTTACCACGGAACACACTGGGAATTGCACGTGCAAGAACCTGTGATATCCACTTGAGAGCGACTGAGTTCTTTCCATGATCCGAAGTAAGTTACCCGCATTTCGGCGTCACTCCTGCATTCCGCAGCACCTACATTGTACATTGTACATTATTAATTTTGATACTGGTGTATTAGTACATGAGAGCAGAGCGTTGAACTGCACGTGCACTGACCTCCTGGTTAAATGACTATGTGGTTGCAGAGCTGCATGGCTAGATATGGTAAGGAATGCATTTTTGAGGCCCACAAAAAGGCCATGTGTCAGTTCAGATAGGCCGGTCCACATCATACATGAACATTATCATCACATCGACGTATGTGACATTGCGGAGGAAAGGAGTGACTGTACAGTTTTCAAATGATGAAAATAGCACTGCCACACTGCTATACTGGTACACCCATAGAGTGGTTTCGTCCGACGCTCAGAATCGGCTTGGGCAAGAATGCTAAAATAGAGGCATGCACTTCGCTGTAGCCCGCACAGGCGGAGGTACTCAGGTAGACTACATTCCCAACAAGTGCGCATAACAGAATTGATACGATAGTGCGGAGAGCGGCATAATTAGATCTATGCTATGCAACTCTACACATACATATGCCACTGCCAGGTATGTGAAGGGCTGCCTGATCTACGCAACGCCATCAACTATCACCGCGTGGGTTACACTAGGACAGCGTTTTTAAACGGTCTCTTCAATGTTTGACCCCTGTGAAGGTGGTCTGCCACCTTAAAAACATTTTCAACAATACTGGACACAGCAATGAGTATACGTTTGAAAGGATCTTGTTGCGAATGAAGTGGGGCACCTATTCCAGGCACTAGAAGAAGTGCTTCTCGAGTGATGATGTGGCCGAAGGGGCTGACTCAATCCACTTCTTCTCCACCTGTTCACTCGCACCTCCCTCTATGCCTAGGCTATGGAGTCTGGATCCTGCGGTGTGGCTGAATCATCCACATCAGTCACCTGATGAGTGATGTCAGTGATGATCAGATGCTCTGTGGCATGGTCCGGTGTGGCGAGTCATAGTACAGTACAATGTAGCTGGAACTCACTTACTGGGCTGCAATGACTATGTCACAGTATGTGGTCTGGTGTAGCGTGATTTCAACCATTCAGTCATGTACGTTGGCAACAGGGTGGTGTGCTCAGCGATGCTCGCACCCTTGAAAGGGTGCTCAAGCAAGCACGGAATTCTGCGGAGATTGTTGCCAGAGACTCGAGATCTCCGTCTCCTGAAGTGCAGTATGGCCTATAGGCCGCCTATGGCCTGTAGGCGTGCTGTGTTTGCCACGCAGGAGGGCTTTACAATGCTGCGGAAAACAGTATGAAATGAGTCTACTTTGATGCACTGAAACGAACGAGAAATACTTTGAAAATCCGAAACTAACTCCGAACTGCGCCGGAGGCAAAATAGGGCACTTCTGTCTTTTTGATGGGTGTGAAGCACACTCCGTGTACTAATCTTGCTGGCTGTAAATCATTATCCTGGTCCTAGTATGTTACCACGAAGGTGCTACTGTCAGTGCCAGTTTGCCATCGCTTATTCCGCAGCACCTACAGCCACATTCTGCAGCAGCAGCAGGCGCTGAACTTTCGCGGAGGTTCTTTCCAGCTTGCTGGGGTGTGAACATGTGGTGGGGAGTATAGGCTAGGTGTGTGTGTGAGTGTTGGGTGTTGTGTGTTTGTGGCACGAGCACAATAGCCAATACGATCTTGTTTTTAAACTACTACTAGTAGTACTGTACACGATCTCTATTCTTGGTTCTTCTCAGTTGAGTAGCGGTGATCGTGTACCAGCAAGCGGTGCATGTGTACAAAGACAATGCTAGCTTGTACAGTCTTGTAGGTCAGTGTGCTGCCGCAGAGAGAGAGAAGGAGTGCAGAATGCAGGGCAGTGGTGAGTTGGTGCCTCTGGTACAGTGGTAGCACTGCTGTTATCTTATCCTTTGCAGCTAGGCCGACCCTAAACCGGCCGGCCAACTGTGCAGCACAGCCTGACTTGGGAAAACTGTTGCCAGCCACTCTAGACGTCCTTATACCAGCAAGGGCGCGTGTGTAAGGCCCTCTAGTGGGCGACCAGGATCAGGACTGAATTCGCCAACAACTGGCGAAAGTCCACATTCAGCGAAAACAATAACTGCCATAATAAGTAATCGACTTCACTTAGCCTATATCGGAGCCAATAACTGCTCTCACCGTCTTGGTGAGTGGAGTGCTGTGAGCTCGATTGATACTGCTGACTGAGCCTAGCGCCAGTGGATAGCCTCCGCTTGCCATTGTGCAAGTGTGAGGTCAGTCAAGCTGGTCGAAACGCTCCTTGAACTCCGTCAGGCCACTATACATCGGGACAAGCCGAGCGAGAAAAGCCCTGCGAAATTTCATTGGGCCGAGAAGGCTAACACCTTCTCAGCCATCACCCGTCACCCCTCTCTCTCTCTCTCTCGCTGTGTCCAGAATAGCGTCTGTGGTTTGCAAGGTTCACAAGGTGCGTACAACACCCATCGATCCCGTACCGTTCTCGGCCTTAGCGCCTGGCATCACACGGTCGAGAAGAAAATATACCCATCGCCTTGGTTGGGATCTGTTTGTTTGTCAGAACGGGAGGCCGTTGGTAGTAGTGACAATTTTCGTTTGTGTTCGGCTCTGAATCTTCGTTGTCCATTGGCAAAACCTATGGCCCGACGATGCTGACAAGAAGGATGTCGTTGGGACAGTGTTGTGCGAGTTTCCTCCTAGCAGTCCTGACAGCTGCCCTGCTAAGGACGCCAGTAGCAGTAATAGCAGTGCCAGTAACCCCCGCACAGGATGTCCTATGGCAGGACAACAGCTTAGCACCGGCTGTGAGCGATGGCGAAAATGTGGAGTTTGTCAATGCGTCGCTGGAGCACACCATGCTGAGAGGCAGGTGCGAAGTGCTTTGCTCGACGAGTCTCAGGAACCTCTCTGCCGAGGAAAGACAGGTAAGGGGTCTTCCTGATTGTGGACCGTGGAAGAGAAAGAATTTTGGTGCGTAGACCCACGTCTCCTTTGGCGTGGGCAACCATTCTTTCCTCACCACGTGGGGTGGCAAGGAACGGGAGGCCTACTACTCACTGCCAATCCCCCGTGATGCAGGAAAGGAGCGTTCGAAGGTATGACGCTGAATAAAGGAAACTCGCCGGCCCGGCACATTGGGTCAATTGGCGTGTTTGTATGAGGAACAATAGCCCCAGCTTCCTGTACTGTGATTGCCCTTTCCTGCGCTTCGTGTGCAAACGCAATTAGCTGGAACACGTAGTTTGCAGCGGTCAATGACAGCCTGAGCTCGAGAGATACTTCTGTTATGGCTTGTCACCATCACCTTCATCTAAGACACGGTTGCACCAGTGAACATCGAATGTGAAGTTGACGTGTAAATGTCGATCATGTGAGATGAGCAAGGGAAACTCACTCATACAATTATTATCTTGTATTCGTCCAAAACACGACTACATAATTCTAGAGTCACCAAAGAATGGGGCTCATGCACACTGGAGTAAGAATTCACAGAGTAGCATGCGATGTTCTTGATTGCTTATAAATTATTATAATCGAGGAATCTTCCATTAGACAATCTGCATAAGGATACAGACAAGTCCCCTATCAAGAACTGCACTCAGATGTCTTACTAGAACACGGAAGAAAACTGAGGAAAAAGAAATCCATTTTGTGACACCTAATAGGTTCCGAATTTTTAACATCTGGATCCCTGTGTGACAGAAGATGATGCAATTGCACAGATAGATGCCTTTCAGTATACTGAAACACAAGACGCTGTGCCTTCAGAAACTGACACGAGAATAGCAGTAATAGCCTACATCGATACACGTATTCACTGTCATCTGACAAAAAGCAGTGCAGCAGTCATGATGCGGCTTCAGTGCATGGAAGCAGCACTACAGCCAAGCCATGACTGCAACAACAGCCATGCGGTGCTGATATAACCAAAGCAGAAAAGGAAACTGTATCCGACTTGCTCAGACGCGACCACTGCACTGTCACAATGTGATCTCGCATGAATTCAAAGAATCTGACAGAGCTTTGTTGTCATCAGTGCTGTGGACTCTCAACCTTTCACACCACTCCCTCTGCTACGACTTTTTAAGTTTCACTTTAACATCACATACACACGCGCGCGTGCGCACACACACACACACACCTATATTATAATATTAATAATAATACTGTGAGTTGATCAACAACAGCGCTACGCGTGTTCATACTGCCTGAGCTGAATACGACAATGTGTGCACAATGAAGTGTTGTGGATTGTGACCCCAAGTTCTCTCTATCTGCTCCCCTAGAATTGCTCCGAGATGTGTGACGCTGGTTTCGAGAACGCTACAGCACTGTGCAGTGGTCTGGGCACATGTGGCTATGGTAGTAAATATATTTGCCAGGAAGTATGCAAGCTGCTCACTGGTACAAACACCTATGTTCCAATCAATGGTAAGTGGTTAACACAGAAATCCGGGACTTTGCAAATATGCACACGCACACATGCACACGCACACATGCGTAAGCACACATGCACACACACACACACACACACACACACACACACACACACACACACACACACACACACATTAATTTTGACCTTTCGAGGTTAAAGGTGTGCATGTTCACATACAGACACATACACACACAGGTACACACACTCTCTCACACCCATCCACACACACACACACGCACGCACACACACACACACACACACACACACACACATACATACACACACACACATACACACACACACACACACACACACACACACACACACACACACTTGGCAGGTTTTTGTGTGGAGTTTGTGTCCGCTCGAAGGCACGGATTGACTGCAAAACGTGCAATATGTGTACAAGGTTCATGTCGTATGACATACAGACAGCAGACCACCTCCACAATACGACCACGAAAGGATGAGATGGTGGGGCGCTCTGGCGGTACGGTATTAGACAGCCATGTGCATTGGGAGACATTTCCGTCTGCTTCTTGTCACCTTCACCTTCATAGACACAAGAACGGCAAAAGCAGGACTTTCCTACGCTAACAGCACATCATACAGAGAAATCCAGCTGACTTACAGCCTGCCGGGAGTATCAAACACCTCGTTATTTTTGGCAGTACTGACGCCTGTAAGCCAACTTGGCCTTCCGGACGGAAGACCCCGTCTCTCATTGGTAAGTACTTCTACATAATTTTCTAGGAGAATATTCGTCAGATATTGACAGTCCTGTTGCAAGCTCCTACCTTTGCTTTCATAGGTGGTACGACCAAATATGCAAGCAAAGTCCCAACCCTGATTATTGAGAACAGTGTGGAGTAGTGGGTATGTGTGAGTGGAGTTGGGGGGGGGGGGGGGTGGTGGGTGTGTGTGAGTGGGGTTGGGGGGTATGTGTGAGTGGGGTCGGGGGATGGGAGGGGGTATGTGTGAGTGGGGTTGGGGGATGGGATGGGGGGTTTGTGTGAGTGGGGTTGGGGGAGGGGGGGGGGGGAGGGGTGTTGCATTCAGGGCAGATTTACCTTTTATCTCTTTTCTCTTATACCGCGGCATGTGCTTATAAAGGCTGCTTTTTCGCCAATATCTACTGTTCTCCCGACTACTCAGGTTCAGAGCAATAACATGACGTTCTCAACAGCACAGCTCCTTCCGTCCACTTCCTACCGTCTGACGGTTAGCTTGCTGAGTGACGGGCCCGATCTGCTTTACACAACACACTCATACTTCACCATCGGTAAGTCGTTGTGTTTGGAATACAATAACAAACTTTAATATCACCATGGTGACATACAGACTTAGAGCGCAAACATCAGCCGAGTCAACAGCTCCTTGAACGTGTGCGTTCCGTCAGCTCTCTCATGCTACTTGGTATAACTCTCCTGCAGCTTTCCTTTCCCTGAGCCATGCAGCTAAAAGGGTCATTTTTAATCTATGCCTCCAATTGTCCTATGTGTTATATCATTGATTCTGAGCAAAGTTGTTGCTAGCAACTAGGATAAGAAAATCTGGGTATTTGGGTGCTAGAGGAGGTGTAATTCCTTTTCTCGTTTGCACTGCTGGTTTTGATCTTTCAGATGAGTTTATGGACGCAATCCCCGCTCTCAACATTACCAGTAACGCTATTCCGGCCTCGATATCCAATTCTGTGAGATTGTTTCTGCGGTTGTCAGCACTGCCCGGTGAGTAGAGATGGTCATTAAACCAACGTAGCATATTAGCGGCAACCTCAGCGACCTTAAAAGAGCTGCACAACACCAAGACTACCAGCATGCCAAACGAAGGAATCTGTGAAAAACCAAATATTTCAGTTGAAACATAAGCAATCACATGAAATTTAATATTGGCAGTCAGAGAGATAATGTGAATTTTTATCCCCACTTGTGATATTTTAGAACATGTCTGCTGTTACTTATTTGTTGGCTATCTACAGGTTTTGACCAGTCCCTTCTGACACGGTTTGGTATCTCCATGACCTCCGAGATGCCTCTTTGCACTGGCAATGACACAGCACCACTGCATGCATTCCTAACCGAAGGAGTAAGTGCTGAATAATCCAGGCAATACAACAACGATGAACCTCCTCTGGAACTTCCTACACAACCAACACACTTCTATGCTCTGTCTCCCTCCCCTCCCCATTTTCACATACACACACACACACACACACACTCACACGCTCACACTCACACACACACACACACACACACACACACACACACACACACACACACACACACACACACACACACACACATACACCCTCTTTCTCTCCGTCTATCCGTCTATTACATTACACCCTGAATGGATCACGGAAGTCGGTGCAGTTCTGCACATTTTATGTCAGCGTGGATTAAACAATGTATCGGAATGCTGACATGTATTTTTTTAACCGATTTTGGATGCACAGACTGTGGCCATCAACGTACCAGACGTGTTTCAGGAGTCACGTCACTTTCATCTCCTGTATGGCTGTGCATACGATTTCAAGGTATGTTGTTCAGAATCTAAGGCGGAAATAATCCAGAAAACATGTTTATGCATCAAGCCTTGGAAGCTACATGTGTAATGAGCATTTAAAAATTTGCTGATTCAAATATAAATGAGCTGCGGGGATGCTCAGACATCCTGTTCCTACTTTACTGTAGTTCCCGTAGAACGTGTATGATGGTTCGCTGTTCAGTTACTTCAAATGTGGATTTGTTTGCTCTAGGTGATGAAGATCTGCTAGCAGTAACTACAGGGTTTGGTTTATATATGCTGGTGCTGTGTTTGCAGGTCACAAACAGGTTGAAGACTGCCGAAGGTAAATCCGTCGGCCATCCAAGTTTCCGCGTCAGAACGGGCAGTAAGTACATGATTGCACAGACATAGAGATCATGCTAAGCAGATAGAAACCCCCAAAACATATTTCCTGCTTGTAAAAAATAAGTCTGGTCACCTTTTTTTTGCTACGTGCAAAAAGATGTCGATAGTGATAGTATCATTGTAATACCTGTAATAGGAAAGAGTGGTATTGACTAAGCAATAATTTTATACTTAGAAGTAAGAAAGTTGGTTGCTCCCCATGCCGAAGCTCGTGCTTACCCGCCAACTTGAATTCTCACTTGACTGACTCACGGCTGCCATCCAGAGCACACGACAAGTCCATCGAACCTTGCACTGAAAAGCACGACCTCTCCCGGCGTGGGGAGCAACCAACTCTCCTCTACAATTACACTGTATTTTCCGGAGTAATAAGCCACACCCAGATGTGTTGTAATGGAAACACTCACATCATCTACCCCGTTTATCACCGGATTACTGGTGTTCAAAGTCCGGCTTACGCTTCCCCTAGCTGCATCTCATGTTTGGCATTTAAGTGGTCTTTGTAAAAATAAAAATAAAAAACACCGGAAAATACGGTAATACTTCCAAGTAGTAACAACAACTGATGACAAATATTTCTGTATGACAGGTTCCACTGAATTGGGTAACAAGTAGCATATTGAAACTCCAAATGATATTTCTTGCCGGTAATAATGATGCGAGAAAATTAGCTTGCAGAGCTCTGGAATTTCTTTCGCTCATGTGCTTTACCATTTCACCGGCTTTTTTCCGAATGGATTTGTCCTTTTTCCTGTTGTGTGATGGTGTGTGCTTTACAGACCTGAACAGGGAGATCGGTCCGGTCATAAATCTAGTTTCAAAGCGGAAACGAGTCAACGGTGTCTCTTCCCTTGAGCTCACCTTCAAACTGCCGCACACCGTTCACCCTTCGGTCATAAGGCAGATCCGCGCCGACTTCTTTTTACTTCATGATGCCATTCCGTCCTTCACGGTGTTTCAGGACATCCCAATCGGGGTAGGTTTTCACTCATTCCTGCACACGAGTACATCCACCAGAATTGAGAAGCCCTCCCAGTACGTTGCGAAGTACGTGAATGTGTAGGAAATAGCACCATACTTCACTGGAGTGTAAGCCGCACCCAGATGTTTGGTCACGAAACACAGACATCTACACTGTACATGTATATCACCGTTCATTTGACAACGTAAGCAATAACGCTATAAGCCGCACCAAATTTTTGGGGGTGAAATAGGAGTGCGGTTTTTACTTTGGAAAATATGGTACCGTGTGTCGTTACTACCAATCCTGTATATGTGTTGTAATATTAGTATGCCACACACGCTGAGCATTCTGAACATGCAAAGGGAGAGTCAGAGCTATCCTCCTACAGACTGACGACGACATCTCGGCGTGATTTCTAATGATACGTACTTGCGTACGTGTGGATTTGGTGTGTGTTGCATGCATGTACACTATTCACAGATCAGTAGCTCAGACAAGATTGACATCTCGCACTTGGTTGATGCAAATCGATGCTACAATATAACGGTGAGTGTGCCTCGGGCCCCCTGGTAGAGCAACCTCTTATGGGTGCAATATCTGAAAACTTGCAATACTGCTTTGCCCCCTTTTCCCAATAGAGCTATTTCACATCTATCACGTGACCATACAAGGCAGCCATGTTAGTTCCAACTCCACTCAACCCCTGCATCACATGATGTCGACCATGTTGGTTCCACTGTCCACATGCCATGATCACTTTCTGCATAAAACTGGTCACATGACATTGATGTGGAAACAAACACTCTACACATGCACAAATACAACCATGACAACCATGACAACCATGACAAAGAATGTGTTTCTGCAGGGGCTCGGATATGGTGCTTTCTTCATATAGAGAACAGCCAATGAGATGATGGTGATGTTGTACACATCTGGATTAGGCTATTCTAGGATGACGCTTGATGATTTACTCAACACTGCAATACCGGTTCTCGTTGGCTGTGGATTTGAATTTAATATTTTCATCTTGCATCCTATTTCTCTACTGTGCAGATGTATGCAATACCGTTCTATGAAACTCCGATGTACGGACGACCAACCGAACTGCAGGTCTGCGTTCCAAGTAAGTCTCATGGCCGTAGCTATACACATATACACACGTGTGTGTGTGTGTGTGTGTGTGTGTGTGTGTGTGTGTGTGTGTGTGTGCGTGTGCGTGCGTGTGTGTGCCACCAAGCACTCTTCCGTTTACACTCACACACACACACACACACACACACACACACACGCACGCACACACGCATAAACACAAACACACATAAACACACACACACACACACCGCTCATGTGTGTTTGTTCATGCCTGATCGACCAATTTGGTTCCATTGGTTTCTTTGTGCTGACCTGCAGTTGGAATAGCACCGCTTCCGCCGCCCGTCGTACCGCCAGTGCCACAACAATTCCAGAACTGTAAGTTTGATCGCTTTTGGCAAGAATTCTGTCAATTAAGTACTGCTTTCTGTAATCTCAGCCTCTCACCCGGCTGCTTGATCAGCAGGGTGCCTTGGTCTAGATCTGATATTGGCTAGTAGTACATGCGAGGAAAGCACTAACAGAGTCACTATGGATGAGCGTTGTGAGCGTATACATGGGTTTAATGACATTATATAGAAGGCAAGTGCTGTGTCACAGGAATTAAGGCATTCTTGAGGTAGATTGCCCTTCGCCAAGACTGTTTATTATATCTTCTTCTTTTTTGTGCTGTCAACTGTTCAGTGTATCGACTGCAAGCACGGCATGTGGAGACAACAATCGCAGTAGATTTCCCCACGATTGACTTGAACTGGACTCAAATCGGAGGTGAGGCACCGCAGAGAGTGGAGGTCGTCGGCAACACTGGAATAGAGTTCAGTGACGCATGCCAGTACAGTACCAACATTTGGGTGCCTGTTTGTTGTACTCCATTGCCAGGATGGCACAGCGGACATTGTGTGAAATGGAATTCCTTTGTAAAATACGGTATCGTCTGCATACTGAGTGCAGTAATTGGATACTCTAATTGCAGAACATTTCGGTGCTCAATATTTTCGGCATGAGGGCAACAGGCCAAGTTAGGTGAACAGAATTTTTCGGTATAGAGAAGCAGTTCCCTATTGGATTATGTGTGTTAGTGTTTGTTCGGTGTATTGAAATTTTAGGTATGAAACGGATGCACCGAAAGTATCGAAAATAGAAGTACACCGAAAATTTGTGAAATTACAGTAACCCCACGTGTGTGCACTCACCAGCAGTGACATCACAGCTCCCATACTTGATCTTGAAATCCCAGCTAGTTGCCAAAGAACGCTCTGTTTATATTGTGTTCCTGCTGCGTCCTTCTGTGTACTCTTTCACTAGCCATACAAGCAACTGAGTTCAGGGTTGGACTGAAAAGTGTTCAGACCTCTCAGTATGGCCCGGAAACAAGATGCCTATCCAATCCAGGTGTCTTTGAGGCCAGCGTTGATATGAACGTAAGTATCAATTCTCCGTAACAATGCACACTAAACTGTTCGGAATGTTCTAATTATAGCCAACCGGACTAGGCCGATTTGACGATTCGTCCTCTCTGTTCTGCAATTGCATGCCAAGCGGGTGCAATTGTCAGCATTGTACGACCATATGTGGCACATCAGATCACACTGAGACTCATCCCCTCCTCTCTCTCTCTCTCTCCCCTCCCCTCCCCTAGCCCCATTAATACACCAGGATGCATCTACAATCACAGCTAATGTACAGTTCACAATTCTTCTTCGAACTTTTCCCCCTTTTCAACTCCCTCACTTTAAAATGATTAAAAGCACACGGTGTGTTAATAATGATTGTCTGTGCTTTCTCTCCTTGCAGCTGTCAACGGCATCAATTCCGTACGTGTTCAGCAAAGAGGTGTTCCCCGCACGACCATTCCCAGCTTATGGATGTGACTTCCAGGTTCAAGTGAGTGCCTGTGATAATAATACTTGGTCAACATGCCTACATCGATTGTGTTATGAACTGCCACTTTCTATTATCATAGTTCTACATTTTTAGAAGTTGTGTTTGGCTTTGCAACTAACGTTATACGGACTTTTTGCTTTCTGTTTGCTGCTTTAGCTCGCCTACAAGGTTCCTGGTTTTGATGGCTGGGTTCCTCTTTCACCGATACGTGTTAGCTCACCGTGTAAGTATGTCAGTTCATTTTGGGATTTGCGACTCTTGAACAGTGGGGCCGGGTTGCCGCAGTTGTCGCGGTACTGCTCACAGCACAGGCGACGAGTAAATGTGTGACTTGACTGTGTGCGTGTTTGTGTCTCTGTGTGTGCATGTACCAACACAGATTACTCCATCAGTGCACCAAAGGTGCGAGTTGGCCCGCCAGAGTACATCGGGCGACCGGACGGAAACGCAACCGTCATTCTTCGCTGGCTGCCACCGGTCACGCTGCCGATGAATTTCATCTACGCCTTCTCTGTCTATCTGACAAGAGTGGACAACTTCCCAGTGTTCTCACAGCCGTACAATGTCCTTCTGAATGCAACGGTACGTACTACTGTGTGTTAGACCCATGCATACATAACACTCCTAGTGCATCTTACACGGTGATTGATTATGACCAAAACGCCGAGACCTGTACAGCTTGCTAGAAACCCGTGCATTGCGTGAGTGTACCACAAGGACAAACCAACCCGGGGCGTCAGGGAACTTATTCCTCTGCCAGCAATGCATTTCACTGTGTGGATGGCCACGGGTGGCAGCCCCGCGACAACACACCGTGTGCAGAATTATAGCGTCAGCCAACAGACGTTTCTGCATTGCTGAATTGAATATAGACTACCCCGTGTACATGCCCACATGTTGATACGTATTGGTGCGTACGTACACATCCACAGATTGGTCTCTTTACATACACATTGGTACTGTACTATATACGGGCATATGCTCCTAGTGATACCGACGTTCACAGGAAATAATAGCATTCTACAACCATGAACACATTGATAGATGGGAGAATGTTTAGTGCGTTATTTTGAGATTTGATAACAAGATCATAGTAGTCTGAAAGAGATGCTTTGAAGTGAACTAACACGTGTGCGCCACCATGAATTTCTGTTCCTGCAGGACACGCATGATACCAAATACATAGTTCAGCTACCTTGGAACATCTACTCGCTGGAGCTGGGTCATTCGTACACCTTTACGGTGAGGATGCGTGCAACTGTTTGCTGTAGATGTAGATTGTGTGTGTGCGCACGTGTGTAACTGTTATGTATGTATATGTGTGTATATTAATAAATATAATAAAGTGTGTGTATGTGTTTATGTGTGTATGTGGTAATGCGAATACAAGTTTGGAAATCTGGTCATTGTTATAGTGTGTGCTTGTACCTACTTGCATAATATCCTGTGTCCTGTACAGATCTACACTGCTGTGTATAAGAGACCTGTATACCAGAGATCCAACAGGGCTGTCTATAGTGGCATCGGCATCCAAACCGTCATTGACTTGCCAGGTGAGTGCACACATACTACATGTACTGAAAGTGTTGTACTGTAGCTGGTTGAATAGACCATCTAGGAGTGATATGCAGTCGCGTGTCGAGGCGTGAGGCAATCTGAATGTGTGTGGCACCCCTGTGCTGTGCGTCTTTCATTCTGCTTCCCGTTGCAGCCCTGCCAACATCCCCCACGCCACCGCACACCGAGGTGCTGACGTCCCCCACCGTGCAGACGGCCACCGAGGCGAACGCCAACGTCATCATCGGAATCACTGCACCGGTTGGCGTCATCGTCATCGGCATTGCCATGTACACCTGGGTGCGCTTCAACAACAAGAGCAAGCTGAAGATGAACAGCCTGAGAAAGCGCGCCACCATCAATGACGACGCCGCCGCCCGTAACTTGTACCAGCAGAACGGCGGCCTAGAGGGAATCCACGTTACCACGACGAACTTTAACTGGCATGGTGAGACGAAGGACGAATGGGAAGTCGACCCCGATATGGTAACGTGTGTTGGCGAGCTTGGAGAGGGTGCATTCGGCAAGGTCTTCAAGGCTGAGCTGAAGAATGGAGGTGGTCGCAAAGCTCTGGGTGAAGGCGAGGAGAACAAAGACCTGCAATTACAGGATACTGTACAGATCGTTGCTGTCAAACAGCTCAAATGTAAGTACGCCCACACTCTGCTTAACCCTGGCCAAAGCGATACATGACTGTATTCCATGTGTACATGTACCGCTGAACAACCCCAACTGTGCAATCTCTGCTTCCGACAAACGTATCGGTTCATGCTTATAGATATACAGTTGAAGACAACTGGTGCATGCACAATATCACGAATAAGCATCTTCTCTTTGCTACTTGTGATGTGAGATGGCCATGGCAGATGGAAAACCCGGTGAGACAGTGTGTGTGTCGCTTTGTCTTCTTCTTGTTTTGTTTTCTTCATCAACAGTGGATTATGGTATTCAAGATTTGGACTTGTTCAAGTCGGAAATTGAGCTGATGAAGAATGTTGGCTCCCATCCGAATGTGCTGAGGATGGTGGGCTGCGTCGTACAGACGGAAAAGATCATGCTGCTGACCGAATTTGCCGAGTTCAACAATCTGCACAGCTTCCTGGTGACGGCTAAGGAGAAAAACCGACTGGTAAGTGCCGTGTGAAGAACGTCACCTGCAGCAGAGGTCAGCATTTGTAATGAGAACTGCTGGACGTCTGTTGGATATGCGAATCGGATGCGGTACTGGTGGCTTAGAGCAATGGGACATGCATCACAGGAAATGGAGGACGTTCGCACCTGTCACAGATTTTACGGATTCAAAAAAGGCTACATTATAATCACTGCACAATTTTGAATCCATGATGCATGTCCACAAGGGTACTCGCGTTTTGTATTGGGTATGATCTGTCAGAAATGCACCTGGTGATGTGCAGAAAAAGGTTTGACTGGGGGGATATGGCAAGAAACCATGCTTGCTGTTCTCTTATTTCTCCGATATGTCTAGCCCGGTGAAAAGGATGCGTACTACAATGACGGAACGGAAGGTGTTCCCACGGTCCAGATCAATGAGTACCATACGCTTGGTCAAGTCGACCTGCTGAGCTTTGGACATCAAATTGCTGCAGGAATGGTACGTACTACGAAGTACATGCACCATGACCTTGCTGTACTTCAAGCTGAGCTGGCCGTAAACTGGCATTTTTCCAACCGCTACCATACAATGTGAATGCAGGCTTGGCTTTACTGTCGCATGTTTACCATCATCACGCAGCTCACGCTGCACTGTCCATGTCACGTAGTGATGATTCAAGCCGTTTGAACGCGTCACACGGTGTACACACATACCCATAGCAGTTATGCGTTGAGCCCTGACGGCCACCAACTGACCATTTCACTTTAATTGCCTCTCTCTCTCTCTCTCTCTCTCTCTCTCTCTCTCTCTCTCTCTCTCTCTCGCTGTAGCATCATCTCCAGACGATGAAAATCGTCCATCGAGATCTGGCAGCAAGGAACGTGCTAGTCGGAGGCGGCAAGATCCTGAAGATCTCTGATTTTGGACTGGCAAAGGATGTGTATCTTAATGAGGAGTATGTACAGAAGACCAAGGGCAAATTGCCCTACAAGTGGATGTCCATCGAGGCCATTAGAGACAGGCGATACACCAGTGCATCAGACATGTAAGCTTGACTTGATAATATCAGTGTGTCCTTTATCAAGTGAAGGACGGTGATCATTCTTTTATGGCGATAATTATTATCAACACGATAAGGGTGCTGCTGGGTACTGACTATCTCCTCGTCCTCCAATGATTAGCATTGTTTACTACTGTTTAGCATTGACTCTTCAGCATGCAGGCATCCTAAGCACACACAACAACATGGGCACGCTTCTTGCATTCAGCAGACCGACTGTATCGTTCATCCCACTAACAGTTATCGCATCATACAGCTTGGTGCAGAGCAGGTGCACATCATCTCCATCGCTGCACGAATGACGGCGTAAAAAGCCCTTGTTAAAACCTGTATTCTGATGATTGTTGTTGTTGGTGTTGTTGTGGTCGTATTCAGGTGGGCGTATGGCATCACGATGTGGGAGTGCATGACTCTCGGTAAGTGGTGATCTTTAGCAGCAAAACACACACACCTGTGTGCATGCATAATTCATACCGACCAATACTGGAGTTTGAACTTGAGCAATGTCACTCCAGTTTTAGCACGATGGTTTTGTCATGGTGCTCGGGCATTTCAATCGCCGTTTCCTGCCTTTCGTGGATTTCCACCTGTACAGCTGCAGTACCAGATCAATGCCAGCCACCTGACCCACTGATATCTGAATCTCAACTTTCCATTTCTGTGTGTGTGCATATGGCACGGTGACGATAGGTTCTCATCCGTACCCCACGCTGTCGAACGAGGACCTGCTCGAGTTCCTGCTGAAGGGCAAGCGGTTGTCACGACCAGATGGGATCGACCAAGATGTGTAAGTGAACAATGCATGCCTGTATCTCCTTGCAGTGGCTAGAGCATGGTTCTCAGCAATGTACTGTCGGATGGGCATACACTGGGCCAGCTCCGTCAGTCTCCCATTCACTAGTCCAATTTCCATTGCAGGAGGCAGGGGGTGAAAGAGATATGGAACATCAGTTGATATCGCACTCTGCTGGTACTGCGTCTGTGCTGTTGCTACTGGTAGCTATTCTTGGTCTGCATTGGCACATGATGCGCATTTTAAAAATAATCAAAAAAAATTATCAATGCTGTCTACAGTAAAGGCTGCTGCATGCTCTAGATTTTTAACATTTGTCCCCAGTGAGATAGATGATGGCAAGTTGAGCCTCCAGTTACAGAGTGACCAATGAAACATCGCCTCTGATACAAGTGTCTTGCATTTCTGTGCATTGACTGCAACAGGTTTGACGCGGTCGCACAGTGCTGGAGGGAGAATCCCGACGAGCGTCCGCAGTTCAGCGACATGGCCAACGACTTTGCGCAGCGCTACCAGGTCAAGTGCCACAGGACATACATTGACATTGGCTAACAGCGCCGCCGCCGCCGCAGCCACCACCACCGCTGCCCAGTAGTGTAGCATGCAGCACGCCCTGACGGCTCAGCGACCTGTTGCCTGCTGTCAAGGACGGTCCCGCATGGCACGTTGTGTGCGCGTACGCAGCTCAGGCAGTAACTGGCCGGTCAGTGCTGGCGAGGCACTCTTGCTCGGACTCCTCCAAGTGGACAGCAGTATAGACATGGCCAGGCACAGCGCTGGGCACTTTTGCTTGATTTACTATTTGACGACGACTTGAACCCGCCGAAGCCACGGATAGAATTTTACGATACTGGGTACTTCCAGGAAGAATGCCCGCTAGCAGCCATTGAGCTAAACAGAGCACTGGAGCCGGCATGTCACATGCTTCGAGCAAGGTTGGTTTGGTTTGACTTCTTTTGTGTCCACTCCAGGGTTTTGTTAAAATTCCTCACTTCTATTTCATGTGAGATTGTTTCTCAGCTGGATAGTATTTTTTGGCTTTTCTCCTTTTTCCTCCTTTGTGTGATACTTGTACAAAGATGTTCGAATGTCCAAAAACCGCTTTTTCAGTTTCGTCTTTTCGAAAGTACTTACTTTATTGTAGGTACACGGTTTTCGTCATGGTTATGAATTTACCCCCCCCCCCCCCCCCCCCGTGTTTCACCTCCTGCTGCCTATATCTATTGTAATGTAACTTCAATCGAGTTCTATTCCTCAAGTATAGAAACAGAGCAAAACATCAGATTTACCCATTATTTGAACTTCCCAACAGCTTTGCCATGCACGACTCGACCTATTGATAAATTTATATACTTGTGCGCAGAGCTCTATAGTGTAAAAGTGTCGCTGCTGGCTTTGTTCACTGGTCACCTGCCCAGTGGCTGTTGTTGCTAACGTTGAGATCATGCAATTTATAGTATACCATTTTTGTAATTGTATGACAGAACGATGAGAATTACCACTTGCAGTGCGTGGGTGATGCTGGTGGCCTGGTGACATGTGGGGAGTGCATACAATACTCCCCGGTGCGGGCCTGGTAGTCAAACTGCCCCTAGCAATTCCTGGTTACGGTCAGTGCTCAGTCCCAGCCTGCCCAGATTAGGGGAGTTTTGTTTCATGTCAGATCATGCCCAGATAGGCGTTAGCCTTTGGGGCATCCTGAAAATAAAGAAAGACTATTTATGGCAATCCTCAGACAACTACTGCCTTGATCTGACATGAAAGCATTAGTCACATCTATAATGTAACCTAACCAGACGTGTGGTGCTCTGTAACTCACTGAGTATGATATACAGTACTGGCAACTGAAATCCGACCCCCTGAGCGGTGCGCTCACATCGCAAAGAATGTGAACCCACCGCTCAAGGGGTCGGATTTCAGTTGCCAGCACTGTACATGTAGCTGTGCTCTTGTGAGCATTGAGCACTCTATCAAACTGGAGGACTTTCGCTCTCTGAAAAATAAAGCATATCTTTACCCAGGGCGCCGGGCAGCTGCTGTATCCTAAAAAGACGCTGTACGAGTTGAGTGCAAGTACATGATCATGTGTGTCTTTATCCTCTACTGTCACCATAGTATAGTAGCATAGTATAGTATTTCTCTTGGGCAGTCCCCACAGACCTATGGAGTATGGTCTCCTTACGGGGCACCCACATGGTCACTGTGTGCTGAGTCTACTGAGTCTGTAGCCAGTCTAGCTCTGGCGTTGAACATAATTATGCCATTGTTGAAAGCAACAAGACTTGTCAGGATGACACACGTAACCATGACATTAGCTCGCAAAGAGTAAAGGATCAGATGCCCGGGCGTCAAGGCCAACATTTGCTACCCGGGTCGTAAATGTTGGCCTTGGCGCCCGGGCATCCGATCCTGCACTGCACATGCATGCATGCGCTGGACTCACTTGGACTGGAGTCACCAGGTCACGCTGGGCCATGGATCATGGTCATGGAGTCGTTTCCACATCGCAAAAAAATAATATTATTGATATCAACCGTGCCGTTCAAGGCGTTGTCATTGCTATGCCGATGATTATGAATGATGTCTTGTCCAGTCTTGCCTCTTGCCTTGGTCTTGAAGCCAGTGAAGGGAAACTGTGTTGGTTGCGGAGTTTGAATGATAGTGGGCTCGGCTGTGCCTTGTAAGGAAGCAGACACAGTTGTATTGCCACTGAGCTACAGAATTTAGGACTTGGTCAACACACACCGGCATATGCACACTGCGGTAGTGGGAGAGGAAGCGAGCCGCTAGCCGTGCCGGTGCCTAGCCTGCGCGAGGAGAAAAGCTCAGCGAGCCGTCCACATTGGCCGATCCATTGTTTACCACGTCCGCGACAGATCACAAGCCGTAGGGTGCGCTGGTGCACAAAGTAACTTCCCTGCTACACGGAGCCGAAAGCGCTATCCAACTGAATTGTAAAATCTGCGCTGCAAGGAAGAGATCGACTGGCAAACGCCATGGCCAGTAAAACGGGCGCACTGACATGGGAGGACAAGGCGATTCGCTTCGACGTTTCCGACAGTAACTTGGAGAGCAGGGCGGGCGAGATGGTAGTCGACTCCTTGTCGCCCGTCGAGGATACGAAAGGCAACAAAGGTGACAAAGGCAAGCTGTGGGTAACAAACTTGAGGCTGATCTGGAAGTCGATGGAACGCCGCCCGTGTCCAAACCTTTCCATAGGACTATCGTGTGTGATCAATATTTCGAGAAAGATTTCACAGAATCGTCTCCATGGTCGAACTGAGAGCATATACGTCCTGGCCCAGAATGGTCAGTCGGAACCGAGGCTTGAGTTCATCTTCACGCACCTGAGCACGGTGAAGAGCTGCATGTTCGCCTCACTCAAGTCCATACAGAAGGCGTACGACACGAGCACAATGTACCGCAACGTCAAGATGCGCACGGTGCTGACTCAGAACGACCGGCTCATCATGCTGCGCGACGAGCAGATCTTCGAAACAGTGGACGGCGCCTGGAACCTGAGTACGGACTTTGGCAATCTGGGCACGCTGATCGTGACCAACATACGCATTGTCTGGCAGGGCAAAGCCAGCTCTACGTTCAATGTCAGCATCCCGTACAGAATGCTGAAGGGTGCGCGGATCAGGGAGTCGAAGTTCGGACCTGCCTTGGTCCTGGAGACGCGGCCTTCTGGCGGCGGCGCATACATCCTGGGCTTCCGGATCGATCCGCCGCCGCGGGCCAATGAAGTGCACAGCGAGGTGGCCACTCTGTGGAAGATCTACCGCCAGAATCCAAACTATGGTGTCTACTTTGAACGTGAGAAGCGCGACGCGGAAGATGGAGTTCCACAGCAGCCACCTCGACGAGCCGCGTCAGACTTAGTCATGGAAACCGAGGAGGAAGAAGAGGCCATCAGCAGCGATGCTTTCCTAGCGTACTTTGCTGACAACGATCGCAAAGACGTCAAGAAACCGATCGTGTTCAACCAGGACCTGCAGCTGGCAGTGGAGCGACTTCCCGAGGGCACCTCCATCTCTGATCTGTGGGAGGTCACGAAGAATGCCAGAGACGCGGAGAGGAAGAAGAAGGGAAAGCCCGAGCCGGCTGCTGCTGCCACCACCGACATGGCTGAGTGAGTTGAAGCTGATGAAGTGTGATGCAATGTGATGCAGCGGGATGTGATATGGTGTAACACACAGGACAACATGAAGTCACATTGATGAAATTATTCCACTGGAAAACTCGATCGTCAAGTACGAATAGAAATTATAAGTACCATCATCGTCAGCACTAGCCGGATGGGAAGTCGGTAAACAAAAGCCTTTGTCCGTAACTAGCTGCACATCGATGAGTTACAAGCAACGGTTGTACCTGAACCCCTCGAATGGTGTATTCTTGTGACGTGTTCGCTCCTTGCCGCCAGCTTGCCTTTACTGGCTTCATGTCAACTAATATCCAACACAACACATGCTACCAGCTGAGTTTGCAGACACTTTGAAGAACGTGATAATTCGTTTTCGGAATCATCCCTGAAAGGAAGACCCACCGCCATGTGCGTGGACATACTCAGTTCTGTTATCCCCTACTGGCCTAGTCTCTCATATCCTGCTACTGCGTACAGCCCAACACCACTGTACTATACCTTTTTTACTTGAAGTTGATCTCATAGCTCATAGCAAGATACACTCCTCGCTAGTTTCTGTTCTTGATGTCGGGTTGTAGTATGATAAATTGATAATGTCTTGCCACCTGCTGGTGCTATTCTGCTACTGTGCAATCAATCCTATAGTATGTGTTCTGCACGAATTTGCAGACACAGTCACATGTGTTTTTGCTGGACTTACCGAGTGTTAGTGACCACCAGAGGGAACTCACACGTACACGATAGTTTACTTTTTTGTGTCGGTTCTCCGTGGGTCGAAATGCTTCAAAATGTGGCACGGTACATTCCAGTATAATAATTATGCTGCGGATGAGGACATGACAAGGTCCGTAACTATTACTATTACTTTGACAAAAGTATGCGCTGCACCTCTCGTATCCTCACGCTCATACCCCAACCTGGGCACTTTCCCTCTGCCCCCCCCCCCCCCCCCCCCACTGCACTCTCTAGTCTCTGCACAACTGACACCGTACTAGAAGGCGTAGATGACGAGATTCATAACACAGTCAGTGAACAACCGACTCACCTATATTGTAAGTGATATACATAGTGGCCATGCCCGCCGATAAATTACTTGAACGAGCCCAGCAAGTCAGAGACAAACCTCCCAATGCTGGAGGTCACAGATACATGTACCGTAAAGTACCGCCAGAGCGCCCCGTCTCGCGAGAGCGCCCCACCTTGATTTTAGAGCCAAGGGAAGAAAATCGTATGGCAGATTGCTACTAAGTTTGTACGATGTGAGAACCTTCGTGTACTAAGGTCACACTTGGTATGCTTTTATGTGGAGCTCGAAGGTAAACTGGGTACGGATTGACTGCACAATGTGCAATGTTTGTACAAGGTCCGTGTCGTATGACCTACAGACAGGAATCCACCTCCACAAGGCGGCCACGAAAGGACGAGATGGTGGGGCGCTCTGGCGGTACTTTACGGTACATGTAGATGGGAGGGACACAAAGACACAGAAAATAACTACAAGCAGTTCTCGAGAGCTGAGCCAGCCAGTTAAAAATGTCACATAGAAACCTGCATTAAAAAAATTGAACTAGAATGTAAAACCGTGGAAGCATGGACCACTCTCCGCAACCTTGTCTGTTAAAAAAACTCAAAGAAACCGAGGGCCAAAAGCAAGCGATTTCTCTTTCTAAGGATTCGGAAATGTTGAAAATCCAATCTGGCATTTGACTTCTCGATCAAGAATCGCAGTGGTGTACATGTACGTACAGCCCCTCTGTAGCACCGGTGGTGCTATGCTGTGGAAGCTAACTCAATACAGAACATGAAGTCGAAAGGTTGTTGGAGAACTAGCCAGAAAACCAGTTCATACCGGGACCTTCTGATCTCACTTGTCATTCAGGACTGCAGTCAACCAGTGCTTTCTCACTGCACATTTCTTGTACCCCCGCCACCCTAATGCACACATTTGTTTTACAGAGGCGACCGGGGGTCTGTAGAACACAGCACAACCACCGAAGCCTGTCACCACCCGTACACGAAGCTTGTGATGTCCAGCGGTGAAGTATCTCACCAGACGGGGTCTATGCCAGTAACACTGAGCAGCAGGTCAGTGCACCGTCCACCTTGTTCAACTCTTCGTTGCACAGCTGCACGGTTTCGCCCAGCTTGCCGAGCTCCGCCAGTGCAGCACGGCTACGCTCAAAGCTCGCCGCTGGAACGTGCAAAATCTTGCCGTTCACGTGGACCACGTTGGCTGCCAGGTCGTCGGCAAACTCTAGGAATGTGTATGACGAGGTGGCCTTGGCGGATACGAGCTGCTTCGCCGACTGGGCCGCTCCACTGCAGCCAATGGCAATCGTGCCCGGTGCAGCCATTGACATCATAGACTTGAGGTGCAGGCCTGCTTCAACAGGGACTGCATGCACAGGATGTGATGGAAATGTTGCTGCCAGCACATCGATCCCAGCCTGGTTGGTGCGCTTCGAAAGGCCGACGAAAAACTCGCTGCCAGTGAAGAGCACATCCCCACCATCCATGCAAGCCGGCTCCTCCATGACTACCGTCTTGATTCCCAAGCGTTCGAACAATGGCAGAAAAGCATCGCCTTCACCTCGCCTGGACGTGTGTCCTGGCCGCGTCATCAGCGCTACGCCATTGCACACTACCACTGGGTCCTCTACAAACACACAGTCAGGATACTTATCATCAGCATCCAGCACGTGAACGTTCTCAGCTCCCAGTGTGTTTTGAAGAGCGGCCACGTATGCCCTGTGCTCCTGGTTGGCTTTGTCCAGATCCAGCTTCTCTCCAGGATCGCTCATTCGCAATGCATTGGCAGGCAGCGACGATGCTATTCCCCTCACAACAGCGCCTGAATAAGACAGCATTGTTGAATATACTCAGGGAATACTCAATGAAAGTAAACAGCTCAGCTCAGGCCTGTTTTGACTCCGGGCTTTCGTAAGGCTAAGCTATTACTGTATTAGCAGCTGTATTCAACCTGGTAGTATTTCTACAGTGACGAGAGCCACAAACTTGTGAGTCAATGGCTAGGCAAAAGAAGCAAACGAAAGAAACACAGTGGTGTACAGTGTCATATGTACGTGTCGACAGAGAATCAAAAGTGAGTGATGTTCATGTTTTCGAATACCGCGGTGGCATGGCATGGCATGCACATAATCATTAGTCATAACCATGATTACTGGCGCCATGGCCCAGACTAGACTCACTTCTACTACAGTCCATTCAGAAATAAATGAACTTCTAGCTTTTGGCCATAAATGGGTCAAACGTTGAGTTTTTTTAGAATGTTTTTCTGCAATCCCATATGGAATCCTCTTCCAATTATGTTTCTGAAGTTTTTTTGTCCAAAAAGCAAGCCATAGCAAGAATAGGATTTCGGCCAGGTTTTGCCCCAAAAGCACTGAATTGGGAAAAACCATCAAAATCCAGGCCGTTTGACCCCGCCTGCAACAGTGCATTCTGCGGTTCGAACCCCAGTTCAGGCACCCTTTTTGGACCCTTTTTCAAATTTCAAAGTTCGCAGCACTGCACTGTGTACGATGAAATCACGAAAAATCGCCAAATACGGGAGCTCGCCAGAGCCAGGACCCATCTTTTTATGAATGGACTGTAGTTCTAGACAGATTCTGCTCCGCTCGCGATCGCCTCGACATTTTGCCGCAAAATGTTGCTGCGAAATCTTCGATATTTTGCCGAGCCTTGCAAAACTCGATATTTTGCTCCATTTTGCTCCGGAATAACGTGTATTTTATCCACTTCCCGTACAATCCCGTACAACGTTTCATAAAATCGCAGGGTCGGTTTCTCAACACTGGTTTCCACGCACGTGTCCCTGAGTTCTTCCAAAATCATGTCGATCCACAGTGAATCCCAGTGATACGGTGACATGATCTCGTCCTGGCACAGTGTGTCCTGCTGAACGAGTAAGAAACAAGGCAGAAGGAAATCCAAGTATCTGGCATCGATTTTACCCAACATCTCGATATTTTGCTCCGATTTTGCCGGCAATTTCCGCTCTTTAAATTCTTCGATATTTTGCCGAAAGAATTGCCGGCAGGATCTGTCTGGGCCTAAATTGCACATGACTGTAGACTTTATACACGTGCATGCATGCCGGGCGTTGGTTTTTAGCTTTTCTGATGCCCGGCCCGGGCGCCCGGGCCATCAATACGGGCATTGTTGTTGTTGTTGGTGGTGTCGTTTTTTACTTCACAGGCAGGAGAATGCCAGGTTCTCACAAATGATGAAGATCATGCATTCATGGCAGTTCGGAAGTGACTCGTACAATCATAATTATGTTGACCTAGCCGGTTGTCTCTGTTCCGAGTCTTCTGCCTTTGTGGCAATTATCCCTCCATCCTTGTGGTGTAGAGCACTCTATGATCTAGGCAATCTGGGAATTCTCAGGAGTATTGTAACCCTGGCCTGGGATTACAAACAAGGCTGGTCGAGGCAGCTCGAAGCCTGCAGAGTGCTCAATGCACAAAATTTGGTTAATGACATTATGTGCAGAGCAGTATCTCATCAGACAACTTACATGTATATAATTAGCAGTGAATGCCAAAAGCTGCTGTCTGATGATCGATGATCGCTGAAATGCGTGACACTTGAAGTAATTAGTTCAAGTAACTTAGGTATGTACTCTTGGTCAAGAGGACATACTCTTGCCGTCTTGCCAACTCTTGGACGACCGTTGTACCGGTACGTGTGTGGCTGTAGACGTGATCCTGTTGTTTTTAAAAAGTGATCCTTGCACACACCTAGTACCTGGCTACCGGCACATGTACATGTACATGTACATGTACATGTACTATGTATGAGTGTGTTACTTATTGTTTAGTTTGGGCAGAGTTTGGCTCTATTCAGGCAATTTCAGGTCGGTGTGTTACCTACACACATAACAGTGTACAAGGCTTCAAGTACAGTCCATTTCAAAACTATAGACGCGTACCTAGGCAAAAACCGTTATGCCAGCATCTATACCACATAAAATCTGTGATCACTTTGTGCATAATTTTTCCAAATTGGGCGTCTGTTACCCAATCCTTTAGAAACTATATGAGAGTAATTGTGGAGCGATCCTGAGCAATATTCCGAAAACTATTCTCAAAAAGTTCCAGCCAAATTTGAAATATTTCAAAAACCCTACGCGTCTATAGTTTTGAAATGCACTGTAGGTACATGACACATGTTACACATCCTTTATTGCTGAACCCACAAATATTATTGTGATACAGATTGTAAACCATTCGAGGTAGAAGAGAAAGCCATTAAAAGAAAAAAGAAAAAAGAAAAAAAGGTTATTGTACCTTGCCAGACGGCTATTATTAAGTCATGTACCAATTGTAGTACATGACGTAGTAGTCACGCACCTACAAAATACTTTGCAGGAGAATATTTAAATTAATTGCCTAGAATGCCTACAAATCCGCAGAGCATGCCAATATTAAATAGGCCAACATATGAATAACGAAGGCGGCTATATGGACAAAAGGCGACATCGGTCGAGAAAAGATGGGCCTATTCTCTTCCGCAAGTAAGGCGCTCTGCAACCACGGAGGCACGGGATTGACCATCTCAGCAAAACAAATGCAAGTTTGCAGCGTAGCTGCGCCACCACAACAGGGTACTGGTCTTCAATGCACGAGAGCACTCCGTGCCACATACATGTAATTATGCCGTTTGTCGAAAATACGAGCGGAGACACATGTTACATGTATACAAGGCGGAGGACCACTGTGTTCTGAAACACCATGGACTAGTTAGTACAGTACCCCTGTGCCTGGCCACAAGTTAGTTAGTTCCCAGTTGCATTATCCTCCCAAGACCCAACCCGATCTCCCTTTGCCAAAGGGAGATCGGGTAAAAAACAAAAAACAACAAAAAACAACCAAAGGCTTTGGTTGTTTTTGTTTTGTTTTTTTTACAATGATCACAGCTCACAGACGACCTAGACAAAGACAAAAAATTGCATAGTGGGAGCATAGTGATGGTGAGGCGTTTTGCCCTCAGCCGACCTGAGGTCTCGGCGTCACGGGGACATAAAACGCACCAAAAAAAGAAAAAATGAGAAAATGAAAGGAGTGACAGGTACATGTATTATGTACGTACAAGGGGAAAATAGGAAAGACAGTGTTAGGAGGAGAAGGAGAGAAAAGAAGAACAGACGATATTAGGAGGAGCATGTATTGGTGCGTCCATCGAGCTATGAAGCCGAGACCTCTGGTCGGCTGAGCAATATAATGGGCCCCGCCAACACACTCCAATAATATTCACCCCAGTGTCTGGAGATAACTATGTGGATTTTGTAGAGAAAAAATGTGGGTACTAGTACCAGTAGTAGCACCAGCAGCACGGCTGGAAAACCGCTCCCACTGTCCCAGGCAGGACTTAAACCAGCAACTACAGTACTAGTACTGCAAGAGTACATGAAAACCATTTTCATGTACTCTTGCTACTACTAGTACAGTAGTAGCAAAGAGTTTAAGTAACCGTAACGGCGGGCTAACGCCCCTACATGGCTACTTCCCTTGTCTAACCCCCAAGACGAAAATGATAGTAGCCGACTGGCCGAAATTTAAAAACAAGAAAACGTAACCCTGCTGTATCTACAATCTTCCACAACACGTAATGGCACTGGGATTCAGTTGTTTCTACCCGTAACCGGGTGGTGGCAGGATCTTGTCTCGAGAGGGCACTTGCCAGGGCGACCCTTTGGCCATGGCACTGTTCGTACTGGCCATTAGCCCTATGAATAATAGGGCTAATGGCCAGTACGAACACTACAGTATGATCCAACGCCTGTCAAGTGACCACCCATAATCATCCCCCCAGCCAGCGCTGGTACGCGGAGGACTGCGAGGTTGGTGGTAGGATGACAAACGTGTATTAGTTCTGATTGGCTTTGTCTGGCATTTGACCAGTGTCAGTATGGTTATTTCCCCATTGCCTCAAAGACGACACTTCTTGTCAACCCGGACTTGGAGCAGGCGGCCGCTAATGTCTTCGGTTCTACTGGTGTTGTTATACGAACAGTTCAACTGGTGGAGTGAGGTTCCTAGGAGAGGTTCTGTTGGCCAGTCATCGTTCATTGCCGAGACTCATTTCAGACACATTGCGAATTGGGTGCGGGAGATGAGCTTTCTGGCCGACATCTCGCTCACACAGCCCCATGCCGCATATTCCGCATTTGTTCGTGGCATGAAGAGTACCTAAGTGGAGTTACCATATCCAAATCATCCGGGGTTGGATTCCTGGTACAGGCCACTGGATGATGTTATCCCAACGTTAAAGCCCTCAGCGTGTTTTGATAGAAACATTCAGCGATGCTGATGTTGGAAGTTGGCTTACGGCAAAGCCGCTGTCCTCCTGTGAATTCGTCCTGATGAAAGTCTGCCTTTCGTGATGCAGTGGCGATTCGTTACAGCTGGCCACTTGATGAACTACCGCCATCATGCGTATTGTGGAGCGAGAGAGGGAAGGAGGGAGGGAGGGAGGAAGGGAGGGAGGCAAGGAGAGAGAGAGAGAGAGAGAGAGAGAGACGAGAGAGAGAGAGACGAGAGGGAGACAGAGTGTGTGTGTGTGTGTGTGTGCATGTGTGTGTGCCAGCTAGTTCGGTTGGTGGGTACACTTATGCCAGATAGTGTTGGGTCTGTTGCCAACAGGCTCGCCTGCTTGAAGGTGTGTTGTTGTACCTGCCACCTTTGTTGGTTTCAGGGTTCATATACTTGCTATTTGAAGTATACATACCTGTTATCCATGGATTGCTTCTGGCTAGATTAACTCTTGTGTAATCAATGCTGCTAGTGAAGCTTATATCAGATCCACTCTGATTTAGCCACCCACCCTAGTAGCAAGTATTACCTTCACTGGGGGCAGGGGTAACTGCAGTTGGATCCCGGGACGGATACCCTAATGCCGTCAATCCTTTTCTGCACCTTGTCCTCACCCACGTACTGCGGTGTTGTGAGCCCATAAGTGGGATCATTTTCCAAGTCCACCCAAAGTTTGGGGATTTCAGGGGGGTGTCGGCCGTTGGTCGGTTCAATAGCCAATTGAGTCATCTTTCCAAGATTCCTTTTGAGTCTCTCTCCTCTCTCTCGGGGAGACCCACGTGACC